CCAACTGTTCAAGCCCAAGGTTTTAGGGTTTGTTATTGCTCCTCTCCTTTCTCCGTATCTGCCACCGCCACATCGTCAGTTCTTCATTCCGTGGCCACTGGATGCAGCCCCCCTCACCTGCCCCTGGGCCGCGAGGCTGGCCCTGGGCCCTTTCCGTTCTGGCCTCCCAGTCGGTCCTCCACAGCCACGTGAATGAGCAATAGGGAACCTCTGATTATGTCATTCTTACTGAAACCCTTCCTTGCGGTGGCCTCCGAGGCCTTCGTTAGCAAGCCTGCTTCCCTTTCCAGCCTCACCTTCTGAGCAGCACCTCGCCACCGTGCGGGCCTCGCCCTCTTCCTCCCCTGCGCCCTGTTATTTCTTGAATATGGTTTTCCAGGTTCACCCCTGGACGGCTTCTTTCCAGCTTTCGGTTCCTTCGTGGGGCCTTCTCTGATGAACCAAGTTAAGGGGGTTCCACGTCGTGTCCTGTCGTCCCTTACAGCCCTGGTCCTTCCATGGCACTTACCTGGTCATCCTGCATATTTTCGGCCGACCCATTCCGTCCTGCCCCGCCGGAATGTAAGCCCCGTGAGGCAGGGACTTCCGTTGCTGCTCACTCCTAGGGCCTCAGGAGGCAGAACAGTCGGCGCCTGACTCTCTAGGCACCTGACAGAACTCTCGATGGAAAACAGACTGCAAGTAATTTATCATTCATGCAATTTATCCTCAGTGCTTTATTATCTTTATAATGATTTCTAGGAATTTGGGCTTTTGTTTTGATCCCCAAAAGGAGTGAGATATAATATAGTTGATATTATTTACCTGTTACTGAGACATTAAAACCAAAATGTAAGTCAGAAGTACAACAGGCTATTCATACATTTAATTAGAATAGTAATAACCATAGAAGGATAAGAATACCTGTTCACTTAATTTTCTAATTTGTTGTACTGGGAAAAATTACCTCCACCCCCCCCCCCCCAAACTGCTATAGAGGTATAATCTCAGACTTTCTGAACATATACCTTATGGCCCATGTATAATCTAAACACTTTTGAAGAGTTGAATAAGCAAAGTACTTGACTTATTGGGGTATGGTTTTCTTGAAATTCAGACATATAGGAAAATTCTCAATACCAGTATGTCACACAAACTATAAGCGGATGGATCTGTTATTTTTGGTTAGTTGCATTTAGAGGCAAGTGGACTTATGTACTAAAAAATAATCTTTCAAATTAATGAAATTCACTTTTGAAATTTAGAGCTACGTGCTAATAATGGACCAAATGGGTCTCACTTTCAAATATAATGTATGATTTGGGATTATCAAGAATATATTAAACTTAATATCCTCTATACATGTACTGATTAGTTTAGTAATTTAAAGTAATGCTTTGCTTTTTGCAGTTATTGGTGCCCATCTTGAATAATGAAGCTTGAATTTCACAAATGTGAAATACTTCATTACCTCTTTTCTGCAGTATACCCTGGGCTTATAAGATGTAAACAAGGTATTACTCAAGGTAACTAATGGTTGTTTATTAAGGACAAAGTAAGCCTCTTGATGTGTTTAATAGTTCTGTTTGATTTTGATGGAAGCCTTGTAAAATAGACAAATACCCACAGGACTATAGATCAGGCTCAGTCAAAGCACATAGCTATGCTTCTGTATTTTAATGTATGTGTGAGAAAGATTCAGAGTTCTCTAGCAGGTAGAATTCATTCTTCATAAGCCCTCGTGTTCTCTTCTTATACGTCCTAAGGCTTCATGCTTGCATAGCAGCATGGAAAACAGATCCAAGTCAGTGACTCTCTTAAACCAATCCAGTTAACTAGAGCAAAGACTGCAGATTGCGTGTAATAATTACAGCATGCTTTCAACAAGTCCTTGTGTCGCCGGACCAGTAGAATGAACAAACCTGCTAAAAAGCACAGGCAGTGCTCAGCCGCGGAGCGTGCCGCAGCGACGCCGGCAGTGGCTCTGGCGTCTTCGCGCCAGGCTCAAAGGTCAGGGTTGTGACTGAACGCTGTCTTTATTTCAGTGTTCCGTCGTCAGGACACACTGTGGACCAGCTGCGGCTTCAGCGTCCTTTGTGGAAGTCATCAGTCAGACTAACGAGCTTGCCGACTGAGCGCACAGTGTAAGTGCTGGCTTTCTTAAAGCCTGTTCTCTTTGAAATTTGGACCTAGTAAACATGAAATTCATGTATCCCCATGTCTAAAAGCATGTAGCTTTTCTACATGGGACTATCTTGCTATTAAAAAGGGAAATAACCAAGATAGTCTCATGAAGAAATAAAAAGTCAAATGCTTTTCTGTGTCCAGGGCTTCTGAAATAGTTGACCCTGTTCAAAAGCTACTTGATCCATAGCATTTGATGGGACTTGGTGAGAAGGTCATAGGAGCTTATTTTATTCTAGTGCGATAGTGTGATAGCATGCCAGAATTTCTGAGCTGCTGTGATCAGTAAGAAAACAATACCCACTAGCACAACGAGACTATTTGCTGCCACTTTCCACAGCCTTTGCTCTGACAGATCTCCACTCTTGGGCCTGGGTTTTATTCTTAGTGTTGAGTTCGTGCAGTGGTAGGACTTTATTTCCCCCCTTAAGAGTATTAAATTACCCATGTCTTGAAATAGGTTTTAGGCATACTATACCAAGAATGAAATGAAATCAAGTCAGAACACTTCATTCTAAAAGTAAGTGTAACCTATAGTACATAGGCTGACTGAAAAATAATGTGAAGTTTCATAGTCTGATGTAATAAACTTTTGTGGCCTTGTTGTAACTGGGCTTACACTATATCTATGAGAAATGTATAGTGTTACAGCTGAATTTCCAGTAAGACGAGCCCTTTTTTCTCCGACAGTACAAGGAAGGATTTTGAGGGGTAGTAAATTCTTATGCAAAGCTATTTTCTTTACAATGAAATTTCAAGCTTAATATTATGAATAATATTAAACATACTATTTTTGAGTTTCGAGTCAAATGTACATAGATAAAAGTATGCTATATAGGTAAAGTTATAAGTGTTTTCTTGATTGTAGGACTGTGGGTATTTGTTACTTGGAGGGACCCAATCTGTTTGAGCGCTCAAACCATGATGAGAATCAGCTCCAGAAATAGAAAGCCTAACGGTAAAAGAGATGCAGGCCATGAATTGGTTTGCTTTTGTTTTTAATATCTATATAAAAAATAACGAGCAATTTACAGATCTCTTTCTCTAATCAGAACTCAAGTGTATATATAAAGGTACTGTACAATATATAAACATTTACAACCAGTACATCCATATTTTGCTTAGCATTCCAAGGCCACATTGCTAAGTCAGTATTTAATCAATACAGTGACAGGTTACTTAGAAAGGAAAGAGCCACATCAGACTGACAACATATGACATCAAAGTTATGTCACAGTTAACAATAAAAATAGGATTTTTATCACTAATTGTGGTCTATAGGGAAAATAAATCACTTCTGTGGTACTAAACTCTTAGCATTTATCAAGCCTTCTAATTTTGCTCTATTCAAGTAGTTACAGGCGGGTACGTACACGTCTGGATGGCGGGAGGGTCTCGCTCTGGGAGGCGCGTCTCCATCGACAGGGGCTGATTCTGTTGTTCTGGGCACGAGCTGCACAGTCAGGCTCGGAGAGGAAGGGCCCGGGTGACGGAGCAAGTGTGTGCCAACGCTCCATCGCAAGGTTTTATTCTGGGAAGTTCCTCAATTCATAGATGCTACTGAACGCTGCTTCAGGGGACTAAGAAACCTGGATCTATTTGATGGAGTTAAAAACTGTCTCCACCTTCCAACAAACATCTTTCAAGAGACTTTAAAAAGCATCCTGAGAATCCGTACACATCCTAGTGCCGACTGACCCCATGACCCGCACACTGAGTGGCCTTGACATTGCCAGTTCAGTCATAGGAAGGCCACTTCTTTCTCTCAGTAGTTTTTCCCCCCAAATTACCCTTTATTGTTGATGGTGTTGTCTTAAATTGTATTTTATGTGTAGCTACAGCCTCTTAAACTACAGTCACATTTCAGTGGTCTGTCTCCCTTTTCTTGGTTTTAAACCAGGAAGTTAATGTAGCTAGAAAATTAAGACTTAGCAAGTACTCTCGGTCACCATGCCTGTCCTCACCTCCTGAGCGGGCCTGGCCACCTGCTGCCGGGAGAGCTGGCCCTTCCACGGGCAGTGGACTGTGAAACTGGTCACATGATTAAGTCCCTCACACAATCCGTATACTATTTTGACTCTTCAAATATGTATTAACAACTAATGACTTAGCAGGTACAACCAAAATAGCCAGAAATAGAAATTTGGTAGTTTTTCTTTAAATAGCAATATGCACTATTTCCACATGAGGCGCTATGATGACATCAGGGCTGGATAACCCAGCAGGAGGTTAACTCTCTATTGCTTAACGCATTATACTTTCTCCTTTTGGAGCATTCAGTCGTAAGCAAGCTCTTTCAGTTATTTGAAATAATACCTTACCCAGCTGAATTAAAATACAAAACCCTAACTGTCAGTACTTGACTACCTTTTTTTCTTTAGAGTAGAGCGGTCTGGGCTGTGGCTTTAAACTGGGATGTCGTCTGTCGCTGTAGGCAGTGGCCCCTGCCACCCCCCATGACGAGTCAGTCTCCTGCAGGGACTCGGTTCTCTCTGTAAACATGCAACATGCTATTGAGAATATCGACTTCCAAGCCAAACATCATTTTCTCATAGTGTGGAAATAGCTGAGTGGGGAGGGTAAAATAGACGTGATACAGTAGATAACTTGGCACAGATATAAAGTGAGTTGTGACCACACTGTTAATATCCACGTACGTCATTTGTTCGGACACCATGAGGACGAGCTGGGCGTGTCAGATGAGCGCGACGGAGGGCAGCCAGCCAGGGGACAGTGGCTTCGTCCTCAACAAAAAGGCCCTTCATGCAGCCTCGGTAACAGGATGATCAAATCAAAATGTACTTATGTGTGTTTCCAAATTTCTGGCGGGGGGCGGGGGGGGGGATGGCTTTTTGCGGGGGAAACGCCACTTTTTAGTAAGGGAAGATTACAACTTGTTTTTCCTTGTTTCATGCTAAAGGTCACAGCCGTTTCTCGGCCACCCCAGTCATGCCTGTGGCTTTACCCGCACTCGGCACCTTCCAGGGCCCGGGCGTTATGGGCGTTTTCCTAGCCGGAGAGCCACGCTCAGGCCGGACGCCGCCACTCTCTCTGGTTTTGTCAGCTGCCTCTCGTTCTTTTCCTTTGTCGTCTTCTAGTTTGTTCAGAGCCGTTCTCTCTTTACTTGTGTCTCCTAAGGGGGCTCTCTTTCCTGTTTCATTTTCGGATACCACTCTATTTGTCAGGTGACTGGCCTGAGCCTTCTCATCCATTCGCTTGCTTTTCTCCTCCGGGGACCTTGCTCTGTTCCTTCCGGAGGGACTCTGCTTTGTATCTTTCCTGCTAACACCCGATCTGTCTTTTCCGTCCCCGGCCTGCTCCGCAGTGTCACGAGCACGGGGCCCCGCTCGGCGACTGTCCAACTCGAACGCTCTGCCTTCAGCGTTTGGTCGGTCTTTACTTCCTTCTGTTCGTTGCTGCTGCTTCGGGCTGGAAGAGCGCCCCCTGCCTTTCCTGGCGTGGTCCTGGCCAGGACCGGCCCCTGTGCTGCTCAGACAGCCCTTACTCCCCCCTTTCCTGGGGCTGGGTGAGCGCTCTCTGGGTCTTCTTTTGGGGTCATTTTTGAGGGGACTGGGAATCTTTTCTAAATGTTCTTCTGTATAGCGACTGGCTGACTTTTTGGGACTAGCAGACCTACCTCTTTGTCTAATGCCGTTTTCTACTTTTAAGAGATGTTTCTTGTCGCTGTGCCCATGACTGTTGGGCGGATCCCTCTTGCTCTCATTTTTCTGGAGAAGAGGCTGGTGCTTTACATCACACTGATTTAAAGTACCTTTCTTTTCAGGCCCCATGTCCTTGAACTGTTCTGCCCTTTCACAGAGCTGAGCGCTCATTGCGGGCTCCTCGGTCACTGGCACGTGGGGCTCGTCACACACGGGAGCAGAGTGAGACGGTGGGGGAAACGGTGACTGTTCGTCATAAATCACGTTTGAAGATGAAGGTTGAGTAATATCCCAATTACCTAAGAAAAAGGGATTTGAGTGGAACATTGTTAAGTTTTGAATTGTGAACAAGGAGCACTAAGTTTCAAACTTTGACAGCCATTTTAATTATACTGAACATATATGCTTAAACATATACGTGTCTTATAGTTTATATATGTTTAGCACTCTCTCTGGAAAGGCAGATGTATACAAACAGCTATATTTGTACATCGAGGGGGGGTTGTTTAGATACATAAAATGACAGTATTCATTTTTTCTAATTACTTTAAATAATTTACACATCACCTATTACTGATTACACATAAATAGTAAAGCCCAGCAAAAAAATTTAAAATTAGACCAAATGACCTGGTCCAAGAAGCTTACTAATTTAGCTCTCAATTATCAGTGGACATAGATTAAGGATGGGCCAAATCACTAATAAAGGAGACCAAACTGGGGGGACCAGAATGAGGTTCATGGGCATTTGTAAATAATTTTCTTGCATTAAGCTGTCAAATTTAATGTCAAAAGGAAACTGAAAAGTGCAGAAGATAGAATTAGATGTATTTAATAGCATTTTTAATTAAAAAGAAAAACAAAAGAAGGAAGGGATTTACAAGACATGCAAATTTACCAAGTCTTTTAAGGAAAGACCAAGAAAAGCCCTGAAAGCCTTAATGTTGCTCAGGTTTCACGTAGGAGCACAGACCGGAAGGAGCCAAACCTGAAGGAGGAAGAGAAAAAGCCTAGGACTACGTAAAAAAAAAATCACAGTGCAGTTAGCAAAGACGTCACCGGGAACGCGTGATTCACAAGCAGACGGTGGAAGGGAACACAGAGGATTACAGGCTGAGGGGGACGAAACTGGAAGGGACAAGTGCTAAGTGGCATGGTGCCTTATTGCTAGACTAGTGCACGCAATGGAAAATAGTGATTTTTCAATCCTGTGATATTTCAAAAACATACAATGAAACCAAGGAAGTTCAGGGTCAGTACAGGAGTACAGACAAGGCCTACAGCACCTTGTTCCTGACAAGTGCTCACAAAAGCCTGAAGTTCTGATGCTACTCGTTAAGAGAAGCGTATCTTACTATGAGAAAAAAATGAAGAGATTTCAAATGTTTGTCATGCATTTAAATCATGTGCCTCTAATGTCCTGTTTTTTTACAGGCACATTTCTCTGCAAAAGCAACTGTTTTCTACTGAAATTAGCTTCACATATTCCATTCCAGCAGAAGTCCTTCCTGGAGCTACTTGGTCTGTAGTATTATTTATAACTAATAACAACTATGCTATGTAACTAGCCTTAGATAATTCTGGTGTTTACCTTTGACATAGCTAGTGAAACATCCCCTCTCAACAGGTATTCCTTTCCCTCTGCTGACCCGTCCCTAATAAGCTCTAACTTCTCAGCTTTAGGTGAGCTGCTTCCCTTACCGTGATCAGGTATCAAGCCAGTTCCTGGCCTCAAGAGAAGAAGAACTTTATTTCCACCGGCCTGAATGAGCTCAATTGCGCGGGTGTGCGTGATGCCTTGGGTAGGTTCTCCGTTGATTTCAACAATCTGGTCACCCACCTGGACCGGGAACATTCACAGGAACAATGTGAAACTACTTATCTGCCGTCAGTGTTACTTCTGTCACCACTAGGGCTGCTCAACCTCACCAAGTGCCTCTTTGAGGTGTAAAATATTTAACTTGTGCACAGTGTGATCACGCTGGAGTTGAGAAGTAGACAAGAGGGTAGCCGTAGGAAGAGAAAACGTCTAGCTTTATTTATTTACTCTATAAAAATCCTATGTGGGGGAATTTTGTATGACTAGTAAGCAGGACCTGGGTATCTTGAAATCAACAACCAACTGAAATATTTATAGATTAAAACTGAAAAAATTCATCCTGGAGAAGATAACAATATGAATACTTATTAAAATCTAATAGCTAGCTAATAACTAGCTCATACTTCATTATTTTAGTATAAAATTTTCCTAAAAAACTTGGGCTTAGGAGAAGATGCCTCAGTACCATTGCTATGTACTAGAAATGTGGCCTGTTATTTTAGAAGAAAAAGGAAAAGCATGGATGAGTCAAGTTTGCAAGGGGCCTGATTAAAGATAACGATGGTAGGTATTTAATTGCAGATTTGAAACTGTATTTCAAGGTGACAAGCAACTGAAGGGTGTGGCCTCAAAACAAAGCTGAATAACAGAAAATTACTGAAATTCCAAAAAGCAAACATTTGTAGAGCTTGACTGAGACAGTCCAGAAGTAACAGTCCGGAAGAGACTTGGGGAGGCAGTTATTTAACGCATGCTGTGTGTGGCTGCAAGGCTGCCACACACAGCACAGCGGCGGACCCTGGGGTCACCGGGCCTGCGGTCCGATGTCCCTCTCTGTGAAGCGGGTGGGCTTTGTACAGCCTCCCAGGGCTGCTGGGAGGGTTTAAGGAGGTGGAACATGAAGACATACCAAGCACAAATGTATGCTGGTTTTCCCCCCCAAATTTTTAAAGTGTATCAGTATGAAGGAGATTTAACTATAGACTATACAATGTAAAAAATTTCAAATAAACTGAAATAGTGTGTTTTGTTGCACATTTACAAAAAAAATAGCGTCTCACTTGAAGTAGGGGTTTCAGAAATAGGATCAATGGAAAAAGAAATATAATATAAACTTAATATAAACTGGAAATATAAACTGGAAAAGAAATCTTTAAAAACAAAGATGATAAGAGAATGGGGAAAAGTAATTTTTTTTAAAGTTCTTATACCCATATTTCCCTTACTAAGTGACTAAAGAAAAATCATTTTCATGAGGAACTATAGATGACAAATTAGCACTCCTGCTAAGAGAAAAGATAGTACTTGAAGCATGTTTTAGGTATATCTTGTAAAACATGACTGAAATTAACTATTAAATCCAACCACATTTTTTGGCTTAAATTCACTGCCTAAACCTGCAAATTTCTGTTTTAGCACAGGTTACAAATAAAACTTGTAATTGAACAGATTTGCCACCAGGTGTCACTTTAAGACTAAAGGCGGGGAGAAGAGAGCAGCGGCCTGAGACTCTGGGAGACAGGCCTGACAGGGGCTGCGCAAAGCTAAGGCTGGAAAACGGCGCCTTTGAGAGGGAAATGTAAACCACCTTTTAAAACTTTACTTAAAAATTTTTAAATGTGGTAAGAATAAAATGGTGACTACAGCTTTCAGTGACTAGGACAACTTCACGTTCAGGTTTGTATTACTGATGGAAATGAAAGGGAGGAAAAATGAGACCAGGAGAACTCGGAGGCAGAGGGAGGGAGGAAAATGAGGCGCCTTTAAGGCAGCCTCGCAGGTCGTAGAACACCCACTAAAATGTATTCCAGTTACAAAATAGCATTTGCAACACATCGCTCACATTAGCTCACAGCCTGTTAAGGGCCTCCTGCCCCCAAAGGGATCAAATGCCAGCGGACACCAGCGGGGCCTGGGGGGACGACAGGCCTGGGTCACACCGTGGCCACCACGGAAGAGCCCAGCAGGCGCCCTGGTCTCCCTGAGCCTCCGCCTGCAGGCTAAGTGGGGACGAGGGCGCCCACCTCCCGTCTCCGTGAGACCAACACTAACGTTCCTGCAAACGCACTGCCAGGCCGACAGTGGAGTCGCGCTGTTTTCCAAGCCCGACTTCGCTCCGTGTTACGCATTCCAGTCCGACTCCATTCCTTACTGTGAACTTGTCCTGTTCAGCTGGCTTCTCATTAGCTCTGCCCAGAACCTTACTTTCTCCACCCTAAATTTTAAGCAGATTTAAGGCTCAGTCTAAGACTCAGTAAATTAAAAATCCTCTCAATGAATCTCAACATCTTTCCCGTCTATATTACAAGTTAACATTTTTCATTTTAGTGAATTATACTGTTTGCTAATTGCTTATATTCCTGTCTACTCAGAAATAAGCTCTGGGAGCTAATCTTAAATATTAAAAATGATTCTTTCATTAGAAGTATCCATCTATTTTTTTCTTCACACAAATGCCTATGGAGCACCAGCTACAACTGTTCAAGGCACCACGTCAGGTGCCGAAGGCACTGGAACAGCAGGAAGGGACACGACAGGGCACCGCAGGCAGGAAGGAGAAATGCCACCCTCAGGCTAGAGAGGGACCTGGCTGGCATCTGCCTCTCAGGTGTCAGCGGTGGAAGAGCTCGCTTGTTATTGGTAGGTGCAAGAGCTTTCCGCGTTCCCTTCCATCAGCCGCTTTCAGAAGTTTCCAGTCTGGAGCCAAAACCAAGGGGGAAGCCCGGCGCCGACTCACGTGGATCCTGCCGTCCTGCAGGGCGGGCCCGTCCTCGGCCAGGCGCAGGATGAACAGCCCCATGTTGTACTCCTTGCCCCCCCGGAGGCTGAACCCGAAGCCCCGGGGGCCTCGCTCCAGCTCCACGGGGTAACAGCCTGGGCTCTGGAGAGAAGGGCGAGGAAAACAAGTTTTCACGGGCTGCTCTCTTGCTGGCTTGAGAAAGAGCCATTTTTATAGCTGGGGCTATAATTCACATTCTCAGTAGGCATCTGTATATCATAAGGAAGGAACGGGCGTTTGGGTGAAGGGCTACATAATTTTTATAAATGGAGCCAAAATCTGTAGATTGCATGTCTTCTCTGCTAGTGGGTCGATGCACAATGGTGTAATCAGAGAACAGAATTTTGGGATGTGCTTCCTTTAGGTAGATTTTGACAAATTTTCCTGGGCAGGGTTGGCGGGGGGCGGGGGGGGGGGGCGCGCGGCGTTGGTATGAGACACAAAAGCCCAGGAGCCCAGCCCCACTCCGATGAACCCGGCCCTGCTCCAAGTCCTTAACCAGGGGTTCCAATTTCAACTGTCGGCAAACTTTTCTTTCACTCTACATTCTCTTGGAAGCTAACAGACCACCACCCACACAGTGGGTCCTCAAGAATGATTGATTTGAGGAACAAATGTATCTGATTTGCAATAAGAAGTCACTAGTGCCAGCGAGTCACCAGAGGGGGAAGAGCCAGCATGCACGTGGAGGGCATTGGTACCTGGCTGTGCCGGCCGCCAACCACGGAAATCACCGCCGTGTCCGGTTGCGCGAGGTGCTTGTGGTCGGACCAGGAGTGCCTGTAGGTCGTGGGGGCGTCTTTGACGACCTCGCCTTCTAGGGCGCTTCTGCAAGACAGACACCAGGGCCCTCGCTGAGCTGAGCACAGGACACGCGGCTGAGCTCAAGGCAGACCAGCTTCATCTTTGAAAAGCGGGACCTGGCTCCACGCCCCCCCCCCCCCGCCCCAACCAAGCGCGCAGAGACGGACTGTGCCCGGAGCCAGAGATACGAGCGGGGAACCGGGTGGTCCCTGCAGCAGCTCGTGTCGCGCGCACCCCGAGTCGTTCGTCCACTGCCGGGCCCCTCGGGGGGCTTCCACCCAGCGAATCCGCGCTCAGCCGCACCCGAGGGCAAGGCGACCTTGCTCCCGCGCGGCGCCAACGCCCGTGGCGGTGCTATGCTTAATTTCTAGGAATCTACTTTTTTTATGGCCAGTATTTTCAACAAAAGAAGAGAGAAATAGGTGTAACTACTGCTCTGCTCAGGTCGTCTGAGAAAAGAGCAATCCTTGTGGGTCCGGGGCTTCCCTCCCCAATCAGGACCGAGAGTAGCACAGCCGGCTGCACGGAGGCTCCTTTCCAGTCCCCATCTGTCAGCCAGGTGGGACCTTCAGGGCCAGGTGGGACCTTCAGGCTGTGCCTGGGGTCGGGGAGCGTCGGGGCGGGGCAGGTGGGAGGGGCTGAGGGAGTGGAGGGGGGAGGGGAGGTCTCTGAAGGCGGAAACGCGCACAGGCAGACACTCCGACCTCCACCGCCGGCCCGGGCGTCCTCGTGGGGCAGGCGGTCGGGGCGGGTGGGGCAGGAGTGGGGAGGTGAGCAGAGAAAAGCCCCAGCACCCGAGAACAGCTCACCTGTCCGCAGGTGCGTGGGCGGCCTGTGACTGTCCCATGGGCCTGTGCTGCAGGGCTGGGCTCTGCCTGGCCGAGTTTGTTCCTGACGGTGGGCCATGATGCTCTGTGGAAAAGGAAAACAGCAGAAATAAGAATTTGTGCGTAAAAATGGGGAGGCCGAGAGGATCTGTGAAAACGAGACGCTAATGGTGCTGTCCTGCCGACTCCAACGGCCTGTTCTCAGCTGCGCGGAAGGGGGGTGTTACCACCTCCTGCCCCCGGTGTCTTTTGGTTAGTGCTGGGGTGTGAAGAGGTCCTTTTCGTACTCCACACTCCTTCCTCGTTCACCTGTGCTTGGATCATCCAGACAACAGGACAGTCAGAAATGAACACACTCGGGAGTAAAACGAGGAACTATCGTGTAGCCTATTCACCCCACGGGTTTCCCGCACACTCTCCCAGTAACTGTCAACCACTAGGTGACAAGGGCAGGTCTCAGGGTCACCGGCTCAGAGGCCCGTCTCCGAATACCACGCGCATCCCTGAACCTGCCTCCTTACTGTGGGAGCAGTTATCTTGCCTGACGCTGAATCTACCGACAAACTTACAAAAAAATCATTGAGTGTTGACAAATATTTCTAAAGATTTTCCTGCTTCTGTTTTCTAAGAGCACAAATACAGGTGAAAAAAACACATTTGTTTCTGTATCTTTTGCAACAGCTCCAGATCTGTTGTTTTTTGAAGGCAGATTTGGGAACTAAGCATAGTGTCTGGAACTAGACCGCGAGTCATGGGAGGTGACAGTTACAAGAGACTCTGGAGGCTGCCAGACTCACATTTTCAAAGCTGAAACTTTCTAATCTTTCATCCTGTCCAAACAGCAAACAGGATATTTAAAATACCAGAGAGGGGGAGCACCGCTTAGTCATTAAGACCTTGAACTCGGAAGCAAGATGGTTGGGGCTTCGGCCCGACCCTCCCGCACTAGCTGTGTGCTCCTGAACACACCGCTTAAATTTGCTGCGTTTCTAATCGTCTTGACTACAGAAAGGGAGCCAGAGCTACCTCACGGGGTTTCTGTGAGCAGCAAATGAGCTTCTAAAAGCACATGATTAGAACAATGCCTGGCATCTTCCATTCACTATGGAAACACTTCTATTATAATTATCGTCATTGTTACCATCATAATCATCAAAATGATACACTACTTTTGGGCTATGTTTCTTTTCAAGTGTACCTTCTAAAATATTTACCTTATTTAGCAATAAGGCTTGATGCAGATGCCACTTTTAGATTAGGACACATGGAAACTGACATAAAATGAGTCTCGGAATATGACGGAGATAAAGACCAACATTAAAGACAAGGGATATGAATGTTTAGGAAACAGTTTCCACTGAGGAGGCTGAAACTTCAGGCCTTACTACATGCATCACTATTTTATGGCTTGGATTAAGTTTCTCTTCAAAGTTCTTGGGCCTAAAAACATAGATAAAATTATGCTTAACACCTTCGTGCAGCTGAGCTACAGTACTCCGAACACAGGCTAGAGGCTGCAGAGTGGGTGCTGGGGGGGGGGGGGGGCCTGGTCCGGCTCTGGGAGCCCCTGGGGTTTCCAAGGCCTGGTTTCCAAGGCCTGGCTCCCGCTGCCCAGCCTGCGTCCGCCTGGATTACAGGGGAGGGTCCAGACAGGCACGCAGGCCCAGCCTTTGCAGAACTTTTCTAAGGGTGTGTCTCCTCTTTAAAGCCACGTGTTCCAGGAAGAGTGGGGTATGAGCTTTTTCTTTGGAGGGGAAGGGGGTGGCCTGCAAATCTGTTTGTTGCTCTTTCATGCCACTACCGGGAATTTTACTTTCCTGATTCACTTAGCAGGTTAACCTGTTTTAGCCTCCTCACTGGTCTCCTTGCCCCCACGCTCACCTCTGTTCTGCTTCCTGGGCTCCAGACTAGCACGTAAATTGAAACATACCACTGCGTCACTTAAAAATCTGTCCACTTCCTATTGCTCATGAGATACTGCTTGAACTCGTCACCTGGGCGCTCCTGCCTTTCCACCTCGTCTCCTGTTTAAAATGTCACCTCCTCCGTGACACGTTACCTGGCTCCTCAAGCACACTGTTTTCACAGCGTTTAATGCACGGTGCCAGGGCTAGGCGAACACTGGTCCCTCCTGCTAGGCCACAGGAGTCACCGCGCAGGTGCTTTGGATTCCCAGAAAGGCTCCACCCTGCGTTGACTGGCTGTGTCAAATTCAAGTTACCCGCCTCTGACCTTGAGGGTCCGTCAGAGAGTTGCAATCTCCTCCATCACTGTAAGTTCATGGCTGCCCTTAAGGGAATGGAAACTGAGGGAAATCATTACCTCTACCAACAAGATGACTGGGAGATACTTGTATCTTTGCATGAGTTCAATGTAGGTAATGTTTCGGCTTCACTAGCGTGGCTAGAGCAATGGGTGTGAGACTTCGGGACAGGAAAAACAGGCTGGTCAAGGGCAGGTTTCCCTCCTCCTCCCCCTGAGGGTGCGAGGCGTCTCTGCCGGCGGAAGGCACCGCAAGCTGGTCCCCTTTCAGCTACGCGTTCTTTCCCTGTCCTCTTCAGGGGTAAATAAAACTTTCTGTCACCGCTGTTCTTTCCTCTTTAGTCATCCAAACTCTTTGGGTTAAAAGCTGTTCTCAAAGTTAAATATTTATTCTAACAGGCTTTAGAATAAATATTCTAAACAGGCTTTTGTTCTCTGAATTTTACCTGAAATTTCTTCAACTAGTAAAGCAAAGGGTTAAGGAGCTCTAGTCCTCAATGACAACAGAACTTTTCCTACAGTTTCTGTATGTAACTACTTAAGAAAAAGTGTATTACTATCAGAAGATAAACACAAAATCCCATAGTTAAACTATAAGTGGCAAACAATGTATTGGGAATCATCTTTACTGAGAATAAATACCCTGAGAGAGAACTTTCTAAAACTCTATTAAAGGACAGAATGGGGGGGGGGTCGCAAAAATCTCGAATTTCTTTTTTAAAAATTTTGTATTTATTCTTACATACTTAAACTTTAGTCACCTTCCAAATTCTCTCCCGTTGATGCAATACAACTATGAAGACTTTTTTCCACTGCTCAAAACTATTTTTGAATGCATCACTTTTGAAGACTTTTAGTGCTTCTGTTGTTTTTTGTTTCACCTCCTCCACATCAGCAAAAGGTTTTCCTTTGAGGACTTTTTTCATCATGGAAATAAAAGTTGCTCAGGGTGAGATCGGGTGAACGGGAGGGTGGGGCACGGGGGTCATGCTGTTTTTTATCAAAAACTGCTTGAACACTCAGGGTGGTGTGGGCAGGTGCGCTCGTAATCAATCGCCCATCGTGGAATGGGAAAACGCATTGAACGAGTCTTCAAAAAAGTTCACTGAAGCCGAATGCGGCCTCATAACAACGCCATCGGGGACGGTGACACAGATGGGTCCCCGGAACACTCCCCTCACGGGGAAGCGTGTACTGCAAGGGGCCCGCCCACCAGAAGATAATTCGTTTTCTTCTGGGTTCCCCCTCATAAAAGATGATCTGAATAATTGGAGACGTCCCATGCTCTTGGGTGGGATGACAATATTTAAAGGCATACATTTTCCCAAAGTTAATATATATTCAATATAGTCCAACAAAAATTGCAGTTGGATTTTTTTAGAGGAGTGTAATTGCTCTAAAATTTTATATGAAAAAGTTTCTTCAACATCTCGTCTATCTGGAGTGGGGGAGGGGTGGCAGAAAGACTTGCCTTAACAGATACTAGGATATACCACAAAGTTACAGATTAAAAATGTGCGCGCACACACACTTTAAAAATATTAGATGTACATTAGCTCAAGAACAGCTAAGTCAAAAGAACAGAATAGAGAGCTTGGAGAGTCGTGTTCAAGGGGGAGGTTCCTACACACAGATGGCTCCACAGATGAAGGAGGAAAATAAGCACCATCCAATAGCTGGTCTAGGAAAACTGGCTCACTTTTAAAAAAATGCGAACTGGATCCCTTCTAAAACTACGTATAATTATAGGTAGGCCCCAGAGAGATGGAAAAGACCTAAATGGAAAACGCAAAATTATAAATCTAATGGATGATAACGTTAGAGAAAAGCTCTGTGACACAGGCTGAGGGTAACTTACCTTAAACTTCACAAGCACAGGCCCTGAGGTAAACACTGTATATGGGACTATGTTTGATTACATGTGAATTAAGAATCTCTGTATAATGAAGGGCAGTATGTTAAAAGCTAACCTACAGATGTCAGGGGAAGATATCTGTACTTTCTAAAATTAAATTGGACTAATGCCTATATAATTAACAAGGAATATCTACATATTAACAAGACAGAAACTCCACACAAAAAATGAGTGAGGATATGAAGAGGAATTTCACAAGAAGAAAAAAACCCCAAAACCAAGCATCTGAGGAGATGCTCAAATTCATGGGTGGTCTGGGGATGGGGTGGGCAGCGGACAGGTAGGCAGACAGACATTATTAAAAAGCTGTCAGGCAGTTAAAAGCAATCGATTAAGTTTACCCAGCAACATGGATAAGTCTTAAAAACACAGGAGGCCATGATACCAAAAGCACAAGTAACCAAAGATACATGTATCAGATGATAAGGATTTCGTATCAGAATATATAAAAAAGCCTCATAATTCAACCAAAAGGCAAGCCCATTAAGTGAGCAAAGGCTCTAAACAGACCCTTCTCCAAAAAAGACAGCCAACTGGCCCGCAGCAGGCGGAGGCCCGTCGACTCCATTAGCCATCAGGGAAATTCAAATGAAAACCAGGGAGACACCACTTCACACGCACTAGAATCGCTAGAACAGAATTACACACACACACACACACACACACACACACACACACAAAGCACAAGTTGGCGAGGATGAGGAGAAGTCAGAAGCCTCGTGCACACTGGTAGGAACAGAAAACGGTGTAAATGGTGGAAAACAGCTGGTTCCAAAAAGAGCTACACAGAGTTGGCCTGACGCAGCAGTCCCACTCCCGGGTGTCCACCCAGGAGAAGTGAAAGCACGCGTCTGTGGGAACCCCTGTGCGCCCATGCTCACAGCAGCATCACTCACAACAGCAAAAGAGGGAGCGCGCGAGCTCGTGCTGGACGGCGGGTAACGCCAAGTACACAGAGAGCCACACGTCACCAATGCGCTTGCGAGTTTTACACCAGACAGGGCCTGGGGCTTGGGAACTTGGCTAAACATTTCCTTCTCAAAACAGGCACATATGACATGACTAGTAAGTGATATCCGGCAAAAGGAAGAAAAGAGAAGGACGGGAACAAGGTTTTCTACCTCCAGGGAGCTGTCTTCATCTGCACGGGGCATTTTAGACGGGAACTAAACCTGTCTAAACGCTAAACGCGGCTGGCTCCGTCACTTGCCAGTTTTGTGACATGGCCAAGCTATCTATCGGCTGGGCCTCAGTTTTCTCATCTACAGAATGGGAAGATAATGGAGCCTACCTAGGATTAGTGTGAGCATTCCATGAGTTAACAGACTTAAAGTGTTCAAAGACACTATCACCCACACAGTGTTTGTTAAATGCCTCTGTTTCCTTAGGCAGTAAGATGTCAGCAGGGGCCGGAATGAGGCAGCCGGTCATGCAAAGGTGTGGTCAGACAGCGGCAGCTATTACCAGGTGAGATGTGTGTAGATGATGTATATTTTCACCTTCAGTCTTCACCATGATCCTGAAATAGACACTATTATTTCTATTCTGCAGCCAAAGCACTGAAGGGAGGGAACTGTAACTGGCTAACGCAACCAGCTAACCGCTGTCCGTGGACCCTGTCAAAGCCTTGCATCCGCTGGGCTGGCCCTGCCTCTGCCAGGCGTGTGGGCACAGGACGGGACAGTCCCTGCCTTTCACGTTGTTCATTCATTCAGTTATTTGTTCATTCATTCAGTTACTCATTCCCTCATTCAAAAATACCAACTGAGCACCTAGTAAGTATCATAGGCAATTGCTGGTATTTTCTTTGTCTTCAAAAAGCAGATAATCCCTTTTAGAAGCAGGAGTGTTGTGTGTTAGTAACGCTTAATGACGCGCAGAAACAAGGGGAGCCATGGATGTAGGGGGGAGCCCTGCGTGGGGCCTGGCTCAGGAGAGGGTTTGGGGGGAACACGGGAGGCACATTTAAAAGGCAGGTGGGAGCAAAAGCATAAGAATGAACAACTTTCTGTGCAGAGCCGGGGTGCCCCGGAGCTTCTCCAGGGGAGGGTTTCCCAAGGAAGCAGCCGCGCTCAGGGGCTGAGCGGGGCAGAGTGCGGGGCAGAGGGCAGCGCAGAGCGCAGAGCGTGGGGCAGACCAGAGAAGGGAAGAGAGTGAGAACGGGATGTCGCGGGGCCCTAAAACCACGGTGGGCCTGGGAGGGGTGGCGGGACAGGACAGCCAGGCACAGGACAGGGCCTGGACAGGAGGGAGGGAGGGAGGTTTACCTACTACCTCAGGTCGAAATGTGCGACAGCCAGTGGGGCAGTAGGAAGAGAAAAGAAAGGAAGAATCAAGAATTAAAAGGATTAGAAGACTCACCAGATTAGAGGAGGGGAGGGATGGGAGTGGGGGGATGGGACGTGAATCCACACTGCAGGACAAGAACTTTCAATAGGCAAGGGCGATCCTAATTCTGCTGTTTTGGGCTTCTACACAGTTTTACAAAACCAGGACAAATCAGGACAAATGAGATGAGCGTTATGTAATGGTTACCTTGTAATTATAAACAAAGACTATGAACGGGTGCTATTGAAACTCGTTCCCAATTAGGGATTCTTAATGATCAAAAGGCAGCTTTAAAGCAAAGCAAGGCTTGAAGTGCGTTTTACGCCCTATTTCCTGGCTGCTCCTACAGACTCCCTTCCTCCCCTTTGTGAGGAAGCCGCCAGAACAAAGCCCCTGCGCGGAAGGGACACTCTGACGGGCCTGACACAAAGGACTTGCAGTGACTCTGTCTGAACTGTTCTGAGGATTTTCTCTCACTCGAGCTGAGACTTCAGACACTATTTTAAAAGAAAATAAGATCTGAAAAGTCTTAACAATCTCTTTTGCTTCTGGGTGCTAGCTTCTCCAGCTCATAAATAAATGGCCACCACTCACTGGCCAGATTATCTTCTTGAGCTACTGACAACTTGATAATAAACTTTTACATCCATTTGATGGAACAGACAAGAAACGAGACTGCAAGGCACAGCAGCGGCTCTGTCCCTGCAGTGACCGGGGCAAAGTTGGCAGAAGCCACCGTCCGCCGCAGGCCCAGGCTCGGTGCCTCTCAGATCGCCTCGAGGGCAGGTCGCCGGGCCCCTTACCGTCCTCAGCAATGACCGTCAGGGTGACGGTGACACCGGCATCCTTGATCAGCTGCACGATGTTGTCGTGGGACAGGTCGACGATGGACTGGCCGTTCACGGCGGAGATGAGGTCTCCGACCTTGAGCTTCCCACAGCGGTCAGCGGGGCTTCCGTCTATGACTCGGCCGATTTTATGAGGAATGACTGTGAGGAAAAAAATCCCCGGGTTCTTCAATTATTTACGGTGTCTGTTGGCGTTGGGTTTATCATCATCATTATTTAAAAATGTAACACATCAAAGAAAAGCCTTTAAAAATATAGCAAAAAAGCACCACATGTGAGCATCCTATCCAAACGCAGCTGTTTTCACACCAACTGCCTTGCGCTTTCGCCCACACGTGTTCCCTTTACGTGGCTGCACCCGCAGCAGAGGAGCCTCTCCACCGTCTCCCACTCACCCCAACCCTCGGCCCCTTTCTCACACTGCCGCCCCAGGACCCGCGCAAGACGCCGGCCTCAACAGGGGCCGAGGACCGCACCCCGCTCACCCGATGTTCCGGGCCTGCTGCTGGCCGCCCGCACTGCGTCACACTGTAGGCGATTTTATTTTTTAAAAGATTTTATTTATGTTTAGAGAAAGGGGAGGGAGGGGAAGAAAGAAGAAGAGAAACCTTGACATGGGAGAGAAACATCGATTGGTTGCCCCTCACACGCCCAACCAGGGACCTGGCCCGTAACCCAGGCACATGCCTTGACCGGAAATCAAACCAGTGACCTTTCGGTTTGTGGGATGACGCTCACCCCACTGAGCCACACAAGTCAGGGCGCATTTTGGACTATTTTAGAAACTGCTAGAATGAGACCATCTTTGGTTCTGTCGAAGGGGCATTTACTCGCACAGGGGACCTTGTAAATAAATGCAGTCCAAACTCAAGTTTAGGGCTCGGAAGTTCTTGGTCAGAAACCAGATACAGTGAAAGTCTGACTAACCATCCAAATGAATCCTACTTAGTTCTGAAGCAAAATTAATTCCTTTTATTTAGGCCTTTAGATCTTTTTTTTTTTTTTTTTTTTAATCCTCACCCGAGGACATTTTGTCATTGCTTTTTAGAGAGAGAGGGAGACAGAGAAACACGGATGTGAGGGAGGAGCATCGACTGGTTGTCTCCTGTGTGTCCCCTGACCGGGGGTCAAACCTGCCCAGATCACAGATCAAAACTGCAGCCGAGCATGTGCCCTGACCGGGAATCAAACCTGCAACCTTCCCATTGTGGAACGGCAGTCCAACTAACTGAGCCACACTGGCCAGGGCAGGCTGCTAGATCTTTTTAAAATTAGGAAAGCTGAGTGGAATTAGAGCACCGATGTTTATGTTAACATTATTTGGCTCACGGATAAAATCCTACCCTGGATGTACAGAGCTGAGCCTCTCGGCCCCCGCGCCTCTGTGCCGTTCTGTTATAAACCCCGAGTTCGTATAGCTAAGGGCTTCTGACTACTAAAGCCCTTAGTAGTCATTTTGACTACGGCTTAAAATGAGTACTCAGACACTTGTCCGAATGCCTTTCACCATTTGCTAAGGGGCATTTGTTTACATTCCCTGAGAATTTCCTTACCTGGGCCAGCAAACTTAGTAGGCACTTGCGCTCCTGCTGACGGACTGTTATGAAAGGGGACAGTCCCTATTTTTAAATGGCACTGTGACTGTTTGATTCCCCCAGTGAAGTGAGCTCCTAAAGGAGAGTGTCCGAGTCGTACTTGGTGCACGTAGGGGCGCTTTACCGGGCCTGTGTTTGGGGCTGGATGTGGCCACGGGCGGTGCTCTATGTCCCCGCAACGCTGCTGTTCCCTGCTCTCCCAGGATGACACAGCAGGAGATTCTGCCTCAAAGGGGAGGAGGTCGCGGTTGGAAGCGCGCGTCTTTTCGCTCGGAACCCTCGCGGCGCTCATCATGCTGCTTTCCTTGCACACGAAGTAGTCAGCCAAGTGCCGGGGCTGGGCCACGCCCGGTGCCGGGCGCTGGGCGCTGACTCGCTGGCCGCACAACAGGTGCCTATCAGGAACGCGGTGACTCACAGGGTGGCCCTGTGGTGACTTCCCACATCCATACCTGAGCGATTCTCCTTCTCAGAAAAGCTTCTCTTGTACAGAGTGTTCATTCCAGATCCCCTGAGAAGAAAATTGTTCAGCTCCTCGGCCCACAGAAAGGGCTGTGTTCAGACTTGGGAAAGCAGCAAACAGAATGAACCCCTGGCGTCCCAGGGGCCACAAGGAGCTGGCAGACCTGCAGACAGGACTTCCTGGAGCGCTGGTTGTCTGGCTGCGGGATGGTAACGGGCGTCAGGCTGTCCTTGTCTCGGCATTTAGAGCAGCACCACCAGGACAGTTAAAAACAGCAAAGAGACCAGGAGCAAGGCAGCCTCTGAACACTCTCAGAATGGACTGGGGCATTTCCAAGGTGAGCCCTTAGCAGACACATAGCTAAGGGAAGGGCTGAAGTCCTGCCTTGGTTTTTTTGGCCAACAACGTCTCCAGACATTGGCCATCGAGTCTGTTCGCCCGTCCTACGTCACCCCTGGACTCACTCTGTCACACAGACTGGCCTTTCCGTCTGCTGAGGTCACTTTAGCGCTTTTAAAACATTTCAGGACAAGAAAGGACAGTAACTGGAAACGTTGCCTTCTCAAAGAAATCCTTTGCAACCAGAACTGAACAGTATGTGATAAGAAAGAGAAACCGGAAAACCTCTCAAGTCCTGGCACAGCAAAAACTAGCCTGGTCCTTTACTTCATCTTAAAGTCTTTTCTGAGTGCTCCATTCATTTAACTTACTCCAGGCGGTCCAGGGCAACAGGGGCGCTGGACCCGGACCCCTGGTCTCTGAAAAAGTCAGCGGGAGGGGGGTCCCAGGATTTTATAGCTGGTATTAGAGCTGCTGCTGGGAACTTTTCTTGTGACAAATGTCACTAGAAAACATTTAATCAGAAGGAAAAAATAATCTACACTGAACAGAATACCAATCTATACCAAAATAAGATCCATAAAGAAGGCTCTGTTCCGACACACAGGTTCCCTGCCTTCTCACTGATGCTAACTCACTCTTTTCTAAACCAGACCCTTCCATCAGAGTTTGCGGCTGTGGCTCAGTCCCTGGGGGGCGGGGAGCTGTCCCGCTCCCCTCAGCTGCCCCCGGGTCCGTGAGGGATGAATGGAGCCCCAGAAAGGACGCTGGCAGGGCTCAGCATTCCGTGGGGCTGTCAACTAGCACTTCAGTGAAATTATCAATTCTGGTTTTACACCATGACTGAAGATCTCAAGCGCTTTATATAAAATCCATTGCCAACCGAGGCCTAATTTACCATTCAGGCTGATAATTAATGAGCTGCAAATACTCATTTCCTGCCACACGTTAGCTGCTGCTTCAGTCTTACATTTTAATTGGGCTTTCTTCCCCATCTCATTAATAAACTTTGTAAAGTTTCCTTTAAAAGAAGATCAAGAGACGGTGACAAACAATTTCATAAATAACGATGAAGGTAGCGGCAGCCGACACTTAGGCCACGCACAGCGGCCAGCGCTGACTGCGGGTCCAGGCTCAGCACCGCGGTGCATATCCCCCTCAATCCTCGGACTCACGCGAGGGAGGAAGTGCGACCGCCATCCTCATCTGACAGAGGAGACAGGAGCGCTTAAGAGGTAAGTAATTTGCCCAATATCAGGCAGCGATGACAAGACTTAGGCAGGGCTTGAATCCCAGTCTGTCTGATCACAAAGCCCAACATTTAATGACACTGTCTTGTACAGAGATCTACAGGACACAGAGCCATTGAAATAGTAAGAAATAATTTAAACAAGTATAAACTATTTCAAAATTTTAAATATAAACTAATATATACAAATAAGATATATTTAATATATCATATATTACAATGTAATATGACTTTTAAATACAATCAGTATAAAGTGTTAAACATGTTTAAGTAATGCAACTCATTTACTGAATTCCTCTAAATTGCTCAGTTTAATGGTGAAAATGGACTCTCCCCTAATTTTTACAGTGCTACGAAAGGAGTATCTTCAATATGAAAAGTGCTTAGCATCTACCTTACTGAGTAATAATCTCTTCACCATTTTAGTTAATCTGGGAGCCTGGGATTCTCATGTGGTATTAGAATAAGAGTATGATGATCTAAAACGGTTGCTTTTGGAAATCCTTATTTTCAATGCTACGACATGAAATCCACCTAAAAGCTGCTTTCTTTCGTTTTTCTGAGACAGGCCACATAATCATCCTCACAGCATCAGCGGCAGTTCCAGTTCCAAGTGTTACTATAGCAACTGCTTATGGAAAATGGAAAGTAGTAGCAGTGAGCAGTGACCTGATCCTAGAGTAATAGCTCACGCATGTCCCAGTCTTCTTCCTTTACACACTTGCATGAATTTGAGCAAGATTTTTGCAAATTTGTTTGGCTCACAACACTGTCCTGAACCTGTCTGCTTTGTCTGCTAGGATTCCAGTGACCATCGTGTCTAAAGGGACCTCATGGCCCACAAAATGATCAAATCCACCGGCAAAGGCAAGAGATGTTTTTAGGTGGTCGTTTGAATAGGAAAAATAAAGTTACCAGATGCATGTGTAACATAAATATTTATTTGCTGGTTCTCATATTCATTTTGATTTTATAATTAAATTTAGAGATAATTATTTCTTAGAAATACTAAGACCGAGACAAATATGTAATTTGTTGAATCCCAACAGCCCTGAGCACACTAGAGGTAATTCCTCTTTGTTGAGGTAATTAATACATACATATTCATCCTTTGCAGATGAGAATATTCTGTTAAACCAGATTTGGGATATTTAGATTAATTTTTAAAGGTTTTAACAAAATTTTTACCTCTCAATGAATCATAGATAAAAGGGAAGAATGCTTATCATTCAAGGTCACTTTAGAGCTGGAATATGGCAATTATTAAACTACTTCTAGCATTTAGTTCATTTCTGCATAAATGATTTTTCCTAATTTTTTTTTTTAAAAAGCAAACCTATGCCCCTATATTAAAAAAATTCAGCACTGTCCTTTTACTGACGACTAGATCCCGTCCCTGACGTACTGTCAAAAATCATTTTTTTAAAATATTTTTTAAATTTATTTTTAGAGAGAGGAGAAGGGAGGGAGGAAGAGAGGAAGAGAAGCATCAAAGTGAGAGAGAAACACTGATTGGCTGCCTCTCCCCCGCCTTGAACAGGAGGCCTGGCCCGCAGCCCAGGCACGCGCCCCGACCAGGAATCAAACCAGCGACCTTTTGGTTCGCGGGACAACACCCAGCCTACTGAGCCACGCCAGCAGGGGCCAAATTTAATCTCGATGCAGACTCAGCTGCTAACACTTATTTTCTGGATCTGAGATGATATATAAACCTGAAGGCTAGGAGGTTCGGTTCAAATTACCTGACTTTGAAAACAAAGAAAACATCCACCATTCTTAAAAAGTTAAGTCTCTAAGGCCATTCATACATAATTCCTACTCAGTTTCATAAGCCTCGGAGGGGGACTCAGAAAACTGAGTTCCTAGGCTGGGACAAGAGGACACAGCAGCCCTTACCTCCTGGAGGTGGCTTGCTTTTGGAGGTGAGGATGACAAAGCCAAATCCTTCATTTTCCTTCCGTTGCAAGATGACATCATAGGCCTCCTGGGGCGCAGGCCTTGCTGCAGCTTCGGCTCGGTTCAGGCGGGGAGACCCGTTCTGTGTTGAAATAAAGGCTTGAGAGCTGTCATCTTCAGGTTGTTTCTCTACAACAAACATGATCGATGTTGATATTTCTGTAACATCATAATTTTTGATAACTAAAATCTTTTTGTGCTAAGGCTCTCACAGAAAAATAATTAGTTTCTAATAACAGAACAGAAAAGCTGCCTGCGCCCTCCCCGCCCCCACGACGTGAGCTCTGGACAGAAGTGAGGACGGATGTGGGCGCAGCTGTCTGCCTAACGTCTCCAATGCCCTTAACATACACAACTGGAAAAATGCACAATGTGATCTCACTGTAAAGGCGGGTTTTCAAAGCTTCCATGAAATCAGAAAGTAAAAAAAATGCTCTTCAAGGAATTGCCTGAATTCCAGAGAAGTTTTTAACCTTGACCAGTAATTTTAACAATAGCTGATGATGAGGAATGACACAGTGAACTTGCTTTTAAAGCCAACTTTCAATATAACTGAGTGTAGGGCCCGAACTTCCCAACGTCTGGGAAACGTCTGGGAAGTGGCTGCACCAAGACAGAGGAGCTGCTGTGACAGGTGGAGGGAGGCGGCGCCGGGTTTGCCTCACGTGATGTGACGGGGCGTAGAGCTGGGTTTCCCGGCTGATGATACCAGATGGGGAACCGCGCGCTGTTCCCAGGCACAGAACTGGCGGCTGCAGGAGCAGCGTGCGCCCTCCTGGGGCAGACGTGGCCTGCTGGGGTCCCTGCTGGCAAATGGCCAGTTAACTGCGCCTTTTTCCCCAAGGATGACATCAGAATTTGAGGAATAACAATACAAGTTAATCCCAATTGATTTTTTTAAAAGGCAAATTTTGTGCCCTAAGTCAATACAAATCATCATTAACAACTACAACACGCTGCCATCGATGAATACACATGCGTAGCATCTATTTTGGCTCAAAATCTATATTATTTCTGAGGCTGTTTTTGACTATCAACAAAGTGTCACCAACATTCAATCATTAATGAAAAATTGAGGATTTTTTAGTATCTTTCAGGTTAGAACGAATTAGCTAAATGTCTGCAATAATATCAAATGAGGATCAAACGTCTCAGGACGCTGCCCAGGAGAGAGCCACTGTCTAATGTCAAACATCCCATTTTTTACTGTGTGTAGCTATGTCTTGACTCCAGCATAAACAAAGGAAGGCGACACTGCATCAACAAATCTGTACGCGTCTCCAAATGCCTGATCTTTACGGAGAGAGGCAGTGCTTTCCTAAGGACGTTGCAATCAAAGCACCATCCTTCATTTTCAAAGAGTAACGCAAATAGTCATTACGTCAACGAACAGTTATTGACGTCCACTCTGTGCCAGGCAGGCCTTCTAAGGGCCGGGATCCAGCAAGTGACTGAATGGACATTACCCCTTCCTTCAGGGGGCTCCCCATCTTGTGCTATAGGGTTGGCTTTGTCAAATTTTAAGTGGCAAGAATTCTCTTCTAAAAACTTCTGTTTAATATTCACAAGCTATTGATGAGAAAAATGTAAGAGAGATTTGTATCTGAGTGTAGAGTTTGGACCCTGAGCTGTGTAATTAAACACCCGTATTAATCCTGGCCCTACGACCTACCAGTTATGTGTCTCCCAACCTTCCTGTAACTGTAAAACTAGATACTGACAGTATTACATCACAGTGTTGAAAAGGTTAAATAAAAGAATCCATCTGTCTGGGACATAGTAAGTGCTCAATAAATGTTAAATTGAATTATACTACTATTCCTCGAGTGGGAACATTCTGTTTCCTAAATATTTAGGATTTCACGAGAATCCAAAATCTTTTGATACTTAGTTATTGGGACACCTCAGTATGACCAAGTAACTTTGTATTTGTTTTTAAGAAAACAGGTTGAACCTGGTAAATTCATCAATATATGACGATAGTCTTAATACGGAAGACCCCGATTTCTCTTTTTTGACAGTATTAGTATTATTTCTGAATCTGTTTGACCTGACAAGACCTTCCACAATGAGGCCCTGCATCACACCAAGTGGGTTGTCTCATACACAGTTAAACATAAAATACTGTATTTTTCCATATATAATGTACACTTTTTTGCCCAAATTCTTGAGGGAAAATAAGGATACACATTATACATGGGTAGTACTAATTCCGTATCTATACGAATGTTTTTGATTCTTTTACTTATGCTAATGCATTAAACGTGTAACTTGAGAAAGCAATAACCATATCCATATGCAAAATAACACCCTGGAATATGGTAATCGGTTTTGTCTCTAAATATAAATAAATAAATAAATAGATAAATAATTGAAATAAAGAATTAAAATGAAAGGTTTTTTTCCTTGAACGTTTGGGCCAAAAACGTAGGTGTGCAGTACACATGGCAAAATGCAGTTTATGTAAAACAACCCGCAAAGCCACACAGAAGGTGGGCTAAGTCTCTCTGTCCCTTTTGTGACCCAGCAGAGCAGGAACGGGTCTGCCTACCGCCACAGAAGATCTTCCTTCGGACGGTGAGTAACACGTGGCCGTTGCGGGCAGCGGTCGTCATCAGGTCCAGGACTTGCTTGTGTGACTTCCCTTTAACAGGAATCCCATCGATGCACATCAGCTCATCGGCTGCTCGGAGCCGGCCATCCTTCTCAGCTGCGCCCAGGGGGATGATGGCCCCGATGTAGATCTGACAGGACGACAAGGCACAGGTTGGTCTACGAGTCCGCCAGGATCTACTAAGACCCCTGACTACTAAGTGAAGGACTTCTTGGCTCAGCCCTGTGCAAACCGACAGATTTCCGCAGTGCAGCCGTGAACAGAGTCATGCTTTAGAGAGGGGATATCTTAGAACAGGACCGTTCTCCAAAATGGCCCTTCCGATAACCACACTACACCATCCCTTCCGGATCCTCTGGGTTGAGGACAAAGAAGATAGAAAATACAAAGCTGTTCAATAATTGACAAAACTGCCACCATCTCTACAACAAAACAAAGACATTAAACTCAGAAAATGCAATTCAATGGGGTAGCTATTGAAATAAAGTAAGGTCTATTGCCATCATGAAAACCTCACATGCTGTCCACAGCGGCTGGACAATTCTTACAGCACTGCCATCTCGCACAGCTATCAGCACAAGTTCAGCGGATAAAACAGAGCGGCATTTCTGGTTCCTAAATCTTGAAGCAGTCATTACGTTGAGAGAACAGAGTGGCCCAAGGCTCACTTGTATCTTGGTGAACATGTCTAGGTCATTCTGCTGGCCAGCAATTAAAATCCTATAATTAGCCCTGGCCAGCTGGTGCAGTCGTTTGGAGCCTTGTGCCGTATACCACACGGTTGCGGGTTCGATCCCCGGTCAGGGCATGTACAGGAGGCAACCAATCGCTGTGTCTCTGTCACATTGATGTTTCTTTTTCTCTCCTTCCATGATCAATAAACATATCTTTGAGTGAGGATTAAAAAAAAAATTCTATAATAAGGCAATCATGAATGTTGGAACTGGTTTCAGAGAGGCTAAAACTGGACATTTATGACAAAGGTCTCTCCCAAGTTGTTGAAAAAAATTCTTAAAATGTCTAAGTGACCACTCTGAGTACCAAAAAAATAGGAAGCAGTAAAATGAAGCTATCTCTCCCTTCAGAAATAATCAAGGTTCCTTATGTCTGGCCTATGAGGGGGAAGCTGTGTTAACTGTACCCAATATGAGTCATTAGTGCACATTTATACTATAGAAATCAAACGTTCTATTCAGAAATAGAAGGAAGCCTGTCATTTGAAAAGATCATTGTTACCTAACTTCCAAGCATGATAATAATGTAGTCATTCTGATATTATACCCACCCCCCAAACCCAACTTAAATATATTCTTAAATTCTACAAAGCACATTACTTCTGTCATTCAAATTAAGGGCAAACTCAAATATACTACCCACTACATTTGTTCTCTAACTTTATGTGAAAATCATGTATAAATAAAATTCTAGATTTTAAATTCTCTGCAAGCATAGCCCTCGTGCTTTCTGGACAGAAACATAATTATTTTATATTCTTCTAGTTTCAGAGGCAACAGATGAAATGGCATGCAAAACACTGAGCATAGAAATGTCAACCCGTTACTAACATGGCAAATCATATGGATTAGGTGGCATAATGTTCAGGGCTCACGCCAAGCGCTTATGGAACATCCAGAAGGTGCAGCGACTGTGGTAAACAGGGTTTCGAATTATAGGTTTCTTGGAAAAGCAAAATGTCTTAAAACTTGTTTAATGAAGGCAAGAGTAAATAAAAATTTAAAATAAGCACAAAGAGAAATTAATTACTGCTCAAGTTAGAGCTGACATATCCAGTTTTCACCTCCAGTTTTAGCCTCAGCGGCCCCAAGTTCACTGAGGCACTACGAAACTAAGAGAAATGCAATTCTTCCATATTAATGGAACTGTTGGAGAAAACAAAATATTTTTTTTTTAAATCAACCGAAACAGAAAACAACAAAAACCATATTCCACCAAACTGCTACTTAAAGGCCTGAACAGGAAGAGCCAAGTCCAAAGCATTTAAACTCACAGACTGGTCAGGTCCGTCTCCGCCCAGGACCCTGAAGCCAAACCCCGACTCCTGCTTCCGAAGAAAAACGTCCAGATCTTTGGTGTTTGGCGCTAAGGAGAACCAGAAAATATTTTAAAAAATAAACAAATAGTTTGGTTTACTTCAGAAGTATTAAAATAAAACGAAGTTCAACATTTATAGGGTAATATTATAGAGGTCAATAAACTACACCCTCAGAACTTTCTGAGATGCAAAAATTTACATAAGACTATATAACACCCCAAAAAATGTCAACCATAAATCTTTGAGTTCCAAACAAAACTGTGTCAAGATTCCTGTAGTGGTATCTATCCTCTCGTCCACATGTTCAGCACTACACTGCCGCTAACCTCTCATGCCCTCAGATCAATACTACATTGTCAAATTGAGAATTATCCCATTTAAGTCTGTAATTGATAGGTGCAGATTATCCAAACTAACACTTGGGCAAATCCTGAAGAGAGCCCATAAAATACCTTCATTCTTCTCCTAACCTAACACCTTTGCTTTAGAAAAGCATCCCACATGAGCTGCTTACTGAACCTCATTTTGCAAAATGACATTATTTTAAAAGACAGTAAACAACAGTTAACACTATTCTCAGTCCCATTTCCTTGCTGGGGAAACCGAGGGCGAGTGTCACACCGCAGGGAAGTGACACAGCTGAGGGTTAAACTCCGCTTGATTCCCATGACCCAGGTTTCCGCCCCTCACCGCCCGGCCCCCCAAAAGGGGACATCTGTCGGAACATCAAGTCAGGAAAATTACTTTATCACTAAAATCTGATCTCTGAGAAAACACTAATGTTACTTATAAGAAAGAAGTCTTTACTGGAAAGAAAAAAGGGAGAACTTTAGAGATAAAAGGACTCATGAGTCCAGCTCATTTACTTTATGGGTGAGGCCCAACGGGATGACTAGTTTATTACAAGTTTAAGAATGGACCAAGCCATGAATGGGAAGTCTGGAGAAAAGGATTCTCCGAAGTTTTACCAATTTGAATTATCACTTCGCTGTGCTTCTGCCTGATTTTCATCTTTTTTAAACATGGCTTGGGATGATCAAGGTAAAGATCTACAATTGATTAAATAACTATGAAGTCAATTATATAGAAAATGTCCACCTGGGTACATCTTTTCCAAGGTAAATTTAAATCTTTCTTAAAAACAAATACATTTAAAAAATCAAACCTATTTCAATCCGCAACTTTACTTTGGAAAAGATTAGCATCAGTAAGTAATCAGTGCAGGTCTGAACCTCTGCCCTGTGCGCCCCCTCTTCCCCTCATCCGTGGGCCGGAGCTCATAGGTGCCTGCGCTTTGGCTTCCTCCTCAGGTCGCAGACCCCTCTGATTCATCCCCGTCCATACCCGGCCCAGAAAATCTTTCTGAAGCTCAACCCAGCAATACTGTCCCTGGGGTTAAAACTGCTCCGTGGCTCCCCATCACTGCCCTGGCTGATGTCGGCCCTCCACAATCCGCTCCTGCCCCCTGGTTTCCCGTGACAACCACATCCAGCCAAGCGGAACCTCTCGCAGGACCCAGGCTGTGCAAGGCCGATGTGCAAATATTATTCCCTCTTTCTTTCGCTTCTACCTGCCTCGCAAAGATTTGTCTTTGAAGATGTGGAGAAAACCTAACTTCTCATATGAAGCTGTGCCTATCACTCCTACTAGCCCTGGGGGTAAAACTGGCCACTTCCGCCTTTGGACTCGGTTCCTGCTGTCCATCCTTCTGTACTGCACCTGCTAGGCTTAAGTGTACCTATTTGCACACTTATTTGATTACATATTTGTTTTTTCCATCTAGGTTTAATCGTCTTTTTGGGTGCAGGGCCTACGTAACCTATTTATTTATCTCTTTATTCCCATTACTGACTTTGATGCTGGGTGGACAGTAGGCATTTAATGCATGGTTTTGAAAAAAAAGTGAATGAATGAATGTTGAATATGAATGGAAGAAGCCCAGAGTCGTGTTAAAATGGGAATGAAGGAAGAACATTTCAATCTGGTTTTGAAAGATGGGAAGGTCCCAGTTTAAAAAAATTCAAATTTATTTTGTCACATGCTCCCCTGGAATATTCCACAACTACTTACGTTTATCTTCATACAAAGTCTTAGATTTCAGGTAGACCTCAGAAGGGTCCAGCTTCGGGGATCCTGACCTGATAATGCTGGGCGGAAAAGGCATCGGCTGGGGGATGGGCTCATTTATGGCCTCCAAACTTCCTGAATTTTCCTTTTTATCTGTTTTCTGAAATGGAAAAGGGCCTTACTTAGTAGTTTAAAAAAACAGATGGTCAATTAGTTCATAGAACGGTCATCTACGCTGCGTTTGTCAACTGATTCCGGGGGCGGAGGTGGTCGTTCATGGCTGCGCTGTCGGAGGGGCTCCCGACCATGGTCTGCGGTGTTTGGCTAAAACGTGTTTGACTGAAACTAGAAAAGGCTTATACTGATGTCAACAGAAAGGCCTTAATTAGCGCTCCATGTAAGCCCTCTTGCCCTGCTGTCCAACAGCAAGTCACGGGACACAAGGTGCCTTTGAGAACAGCGTGCCTCAGTGCAGCAGGAGGAGTCCGAGAAAGTCCGCGACAAGCCCCGCCCCCCCGCCGAATCCGCCTCCGGGGAGGGCGCTGCGGGCAGCGTCCCGGCTAAGCAAGCGCGACAGGAAGCGCTATGCTAGTTTAGGTCATGCGGCTGCGCCTGTGAAGACCTGCTGCGTGGCCAAGTCAAACGCCGCAAGGAGGTGGGCACGCCTGCCGGGCAATCGGATGAGGACAGAGCTTATTTTCCCAGTTTTCCAGTTCAGATGGAACTTGCGCAAAGTAACATTCAAGCAAAATGAGTTCTTTCAAAATGTCTTAAAAATGAAATCCAACCAACACCCTGAGAAAACAGATAGGGTTTTGAGAAGAGCTCGCCGTCCTGAGTTACCATGGGGAGAGGCGGATGAGAGGCGTGTGTGATAATTCACGCGGACAGGACGGGTCGCGAGAGCAGCTGGTCGTCAGGGCGCGGGCAGGGCCCGGGGGAGGGGGGGGCCGCTTCGCTGACCCGGAACCAGACCCAGACCCAGGCAGGTGGCGGGAGCTCGGAGCAGCCTCCTCCCCGTGGCCGCATGCGCTGGGATTCTGCCAGCAGTGAGGGTCATCCGGGCTTCTGTCAGTTGGGAAGCATTGGGGTCACCACGCTGCACTGGCACCCGCGATGAAATCGATAAGGTCACACAGGAGGGAAGAACGATAACCAGAGGAACCAGAGAAATGTACAAAACTGCAGTGCAATTTAAACGAATTGGGAAAAAAGAAAGAAAATTCTGTCCGCTCTGGACCTAAGTGGTACAGTCCATAAAAGTGCTGGGTTTCTCTCCATAAAGCAGCAAATTTGCAGAGGGTCCTATTTGGGCTGGCAAAAATTTATCCATTTTACATGTGACAGTCTTTCCTTTCGTCACCTGTGGTTCATGCTTATGGACGACATCCTTCAGGCGTGAGATGATAGACTCCAACTCGAGCAAACTAGAACTGATCAGGATTTCACGCGCAACTGTCCCGTCTGTCCAGCCACGTGATTGTGGCTGCCTGAGCAGCTACACATGTGCACCTCACACCATTTCTCGTACAGCAGTGTTAATTTGGTGCATCCTTTTTTTTTTAGGTCTTATTCTCTATGCAGGTCCTTAAGTAGGCTATGCAGCTATTCAGAATGCCAAAGAAAACATAGTTTCTCGTCTGACAGTCTATCACTTTGGTAACAAGCACACTGGGCACAGAAGACCACAGTTCTCTAGAATGTCTTGTTCAGTCCTAAATGTGAGAGTGTAATCTAAATGTGGGTAGTTACAGACCCCGTGAAATTACGTGAGGCAGCCACGTCTCTCCCCTTTGGGCGTCAAGGAGAAGATGTAAGTTTCTTCTTTAACACATAGAAAGGACCTCGAGGAGGCACTTCAGCGTGCCCACATTTTACTGTTTAGAGCAGTGACTTTCAATCTTTTTCATCACACAGCACATACAAACTAATTACTAAAATTCTCTAGCACACCAAAAAACATATTTTTTGCCAATCTGGAAAAAAAAAAGTAGGTACAATTTGGATTCACTCACTCCAGACAGCTGCTGTTGTGTTGGCTGTTGTCATTTTTTTGATTTGACAGTCGAAGGGAAAAGGGGTCCGTGCCCCCGACTAAATGGTCAGGTACTGCAGGTTTTAAAAACTCTTGCGGCGCACCAGTTGAAACAGCTAGTTTAGAGGACAGGCTCATTGGTAGTTTGGGTCTCTAGTATCCCTCCAATAGCAACACCTAACCAGGGGAGCACATCTCTCCTCCACCGGGCTTTTCCTGCCTCCCACGCTTCCCTCTGAGTGTCTGACACAAGCCCAGGGCAACCTGGCTCCGCCTTCTCCCACGGGGGCCACAGTCACCGCTGCAGGGGGCTGTCCTGACCCAGGGCGCTTTCCTGACACAGGGGGCTGGGGCATCCCTTTCACTGTGCTGGGAAGAAGCATTTGAGGCCCACAGCATACTCACCATTTTTGTAGTTTTCGTTGGTGAAGGAGGACCTTAAAAAAATAAGCCACATTTTAAAAACAGAGGAAGCAGTTCCCGATTACAAATAGCGTCAGCATTTAAGATAAAACTAGCTTTGCCTTTCAGTAGGCCAGTAAATTCTGACACCTCCCCTGTGCCAGGTATTATACATAATTTATCTCATTCCATTTTTATGACAACCCGAAGGCATAAATGTTACTACCATTTTATAGATAAGGTAACCAAAGACTCAAACAGATTAACATTATCTCCCTATACTGTGGAACAAACAGGGAGCAAGGGAGAAACCGACGTCCAGCCTGCCACTAAACACTGGTCTCTGTTGTATCTGAGAAACTGTGGATAACCCTCCAGCCCTAGCAAAGAATTTTCTCTTTACTCTGAGCATATTCCACCATATCACTGGGGAAGAAACAAAAATCGTTTGAAGAAATGAGAAGGAAAAAAAACACAAAACAACCCAATGAAGTTAAACTACTCATTTTTTGGGGCCAGATTTTATTCTTTAAAGTACTAGTCGTTCATAGGTATGTACTTAAGAAAGCCTATTAAAATGCAAACTTTGTGATCAGTCCTTGGACCTGAATTTTAATGTCTGGGAGCAGTTCATGTCAGCTGACGACCTTGGAAAATAAAAATTATATTTCTCTTATATGAGCACTGTGAGGTTTAATTAACATTTGTGGATAGGGACTGGAGCTTAAGATAAAAGCTTTACGAGCACAGGTTATCGTGATTGCTCTTACAGAAGAGATTAGCGCAACATCCGACACTTTGTCCCTTCACAGAGAGCTGGCTCCCTCAAACGTCTTTGGCACCTTACGGAGGTCCAGACGAAGTGCTAGTGACAGAAAGAGCCCATTTCTACTGTTGTCATCAACAGAGAACACGAAAATAAGAGAATATATTTCATCTGAAGTAGCACAATGCGACTGCGCAGTGTGACTCTCTTCTACCATTAAAGCCATAAATCATATTTTTAAAAGAATAGAGAGGAAAAGAAATCCATCATGCATGTGAATGAAACCATCAGTAACTAAAGAATCTGCTGCAAAAGATCCTGCTTATGGAAGCAGGCAGAACCTTCCGGGAAATGCCCACGAACGACCAGTCAGGTCTGCAGGGAGACACATCGAACCTGTGAGGAGGGGCAAGCAACAAACATAAATGCAAGAACAGCGAAGCCTTTCCCTGCTGTGCGCTTACTCACCTCCTCGTAAGATAAGCAAGGGCACGTCTGCTCCTACTGGGAACTGCTTTAGCACCTCCACCACTTGGAGGTGGGTTAAATTCTGCACATTCTGATGGTAAATTTCCTTAATTATATCCCCTTTCCGCAGGCCCGGACACCACTGGCTGTCCAGTATCATTTTCACCTTCTGTCCAGTGGGGCTGTCAGCAATGGCAAACCCAAAGCCTTTAGGGCCCTTGATCAGAGGGACCGTCACGAGTTCAGGCTGGGAGCTGCCCGACGACGCCATGGACGCTCTCTGCTCGCTCAAATCTGACGGCCCATTGAGACGGTCACTGACCAAGATGTGTCCTGATTTCCCATTCTGGTCCAGGACCACTGCTCCTGACTTGAAGTCCTGTGTGTTCCCGCAAGTCTCTCCCTTGGTTAATGACTGTCCATTGATGACAGGGGTGGCAGCCACCATGTCCACGACGGGGTCTTCGTTGTCATCCGGGAGTGGATAACCACGGCATAAAGTGAGGTTAACGTACTGATTGACAGGCACCAACTGAAACATCTGGACAACATCTGCGTGGGTGTGACCAAGGACACAGTTGCCATTGATGTCTACAATGACATCACCTGGTAAAAGATAATCGTGTTAATAATATGAAAACCACCAGATAAGTTAACTTTTTTGTGGTTGTTGGGGGACACAAAACTGACTTAAATTTAGCATCTAAATTTGAATTCTGGAAACCTCTTACTGTTCATTAACTACTGAGTTTGAACACAGACATGTCGTTCTCCCTCTGCAACTCCTTTCCAGAAAGAATATCTAAATGTATAAATCTTTATTATCTTTGTAGCAAAGGATTATGACCTCAAGCTCAAGGGATTCATGCTAAAAATAGTGCAAATCTGTATTATCATTCTTAGTATATCCTCTGAGTTCTACCTATGTGGCTGTACAAGCTAAGTACGTGGTAGTAGGTATTCAGTACATAGAAGAGGAGCAAGTAACTCCTACTGACTACTTGTACAAAAAGGTAACCTTTAAATACACCTTGTTTCTTGACTTTTAAGAAGCCACTAAGATGTAATTAAAAATTCATAATGTAGGGCTAAAGATTAGAATAACGTTGTTATGAATATATTTTCTTTTAGCACCCTTCTTTTTCTAGGGTATCAATTTGTTGTAATTCAGATTTCACAAGGAGAAACAAGTGACAAAAAATTCAACAAAAACAAAGACTATATTAAGACACTGAAAAGTCAGCTAAATTAATCTTGTAAAAGTTGGTTTTGCTTCCCTAATTTTACATTATTATGACCATTACCACTTGACATTCATCAGCTGTGCTTTTTTAACACAGCCTTAACTTTTAAAATTTGTCCTCTGCTGTCTCATCCATTTGCTGCTTTTATCCGAATATAATTAATTAAATTGCCAATTAATTAATTGCCAAATAGAGGTACTTTAATTTCTTCTGATTGCATGTAGGCTTTAGAAAAATCAACATATTTAAAAACATTAGTCTGTGGAAATTTCTTTCATAATCAAAGAAGATACAGAAATTAGATTCATTAGAAACAAAATTTTGACTTTTCCTCCCCTGATTAAAATCCCAGCATTTTCATGGAAGTATTGTATTGCTCTGCAAATTAGATAATTTTAGACAAACCTGAATATTGTAAAATCCCAACAGCATATATAATAGCTATGAGATGTGTTTCATGGACAAAATGTTCCAAAAGTCAAAATTGAGAACATAAAAAAAACCTTATTAACTTTAATCTCTAGAGTTTATTTTATAATGTAATAGAAGAGGGCTAAAAATAATTATCTTTATAAATATAACTTTTGATTAAGTTTCCTTGCTTTATATTTCTATTACTTACACAGGAAAGCATAATTTGAAAGATCCCATACCCTAACTGGAAATAAGCCGATATCTACCATGAAAAGTGTTACGACTTCAGAAGTGTCCAAGCGCGGGCTATTAATTCACATGGCAGGTGAAGAACCAGAGCATTAGAAAAGCCTAGTAAACAGCACGAGAGGCAACCTCAGTGGAATACTAAACTCATCCTGGAAAAAAGTATTTAAACTTCCTTCATAATTGGTAATTGATCTTGAACTTCCCCTCTGCTCTAAACACTGTCAGCCATTTACAAATTTCTAGAAATTATGAAGTTAGGAAAACTATAGAAAAGACAAAATTAATACAGCTCCATAAAAATGGTAATATGCATATCTATCATTCTTCATATAGCTGCTTAATTTTACTCACAACCAGTGAGACTAAGGAAAAAAACAAAAAAACTTGGGAGAAAACTGGGTGACATGTTTGGTGTCGCTATAAACATAACAATGGATCATTTTTCAAATAAAGATGATAGGTCAATGTTAAATAGCTCTAAAAATACCCCTACGTAGTCAAAGAAAACCAAACAATCAAGTAGTTTTCTGAGATGGTTCATAAATCCTTAGCGTAGTACAGCCAAAGAGTTCTCTCAAAATTAAACAAACTATTCAAAAATTGATAAATTTAATGCCTTTTCCGTTCCCACTTATTTGTAAAGACGGCCCTCCCTCAAAACTGGTTACGTTATCTAATTTAAAGGATAAACTATTTTAACACAGAAATCTCCTTCATTTGTACAATTTAGTTCTTTCTCTCTCTCTCTAAAATTATATATTTAATATAACGTATACCTATATGTTGATGTTATTTCTAGAATTTATTATATACTTATTCATACATTTTTGCTACAGAAATTTAAAAATGCTTAAATTATTTTTAATGGGGTGGTGCCCCAGAGGCTAATGGGGATGGAGTGTAATATCCAGAATATGTATACATATATATTTATTATATATGCGCGTGCACGCGCGCGTGTGTGTCCCTTAACTCTAAATTTTGTTACAGCATCACTGTTCTTCAAGTCACTCTGAAAAATTGCTTACCCGGTGCAATTTTCCCATCCTGAGCGGCAGGACCATCTTTCAGCACATTTTTCACCTGCAGGAACTCATCAGGCCTGTCTCCACCGATAATGGTGAAACCAAATCCCATTGCGCTTTTTTTCAATGCTGCTCGAACGAGGACACCTTTAAGTTGGGACGGATCTCGAGTAAAGTGGGATTTTTCCATATCTGTGCCAAAATGAGAAATGGGTTTGAGAACAAAAATTGTGACAATGAAAATGGTCCTTGATGGCAATATTTAAGAATGTCTACATAACTTAAACATAACGAACCACAAAGAAGGAAAAAATAGAGACTGTAATGCTATGGTACAGTTAGAATTTAAATTCATAAACTATGAGTAAATCACTGGTAAAAAACTAAAAAAACTTAGCAAGTGAGTCATTTCTCTTTCCGAGGACTCTTCCATGTTATTTGAAAGGTAAAAGCACCTACCTTTTTCTCCTCCTCATTGCCTTGTTTGTACTTACTTTCTCTTCCCCCAAGGAGTCCCTTATCAGGACTATTGTTAAACTCCTGAAAACCAGGGGCACTCACTCCACTGTGCCTTTCCCTTGAGTAAGCACCCACTGAGCCGCGGTGCGTGGGAACACGGCGCTAGGACGGTGAAGACCACCGTTACACACCGACGGGAAAGGCCGCGTGCAGGGCTGCTTATAACGCACAGCCCAGGCTTTCCGCAGCCTTCACTTGACATCTGATGGGACAAGAGAATCCCTAAATGCAGGAAATAGCTTCCTGTTTCTTTGCCTTATGTTTAGTGGGTGCTTTAGGAAGAAAAAAGCACAACTCCACTGGCAAGCCTATTTTTAGCGATTTCCTCAGACGGTCCCAGAACTGAAACCGGTCCACATTTGCAGAGGACGCCTCCCTTCCTGTCCCCAGGACCTCCCCGCACCCCACGCTGCCCCGTGATGGCTGCTGCCATTGGGGCGCTTCTGAAAACCCCAAGAGGACCAAAAGGGACAGATTTAGAATTTACAAAGCACTGTTTAAATTAACTTTTTAAAAGATGGTTTAAATTTTGCTGCCAAATATTTTTTAACAGTTCTACTGAGATAAAATTCGCATACGACAGAAATCAGCCACTTCAAGTGTACAAGTCGGTGCTGTTCAACCATCACCACAATCTAATTTTAGAAAAATTTCTCTTTCCTCAAAAAAGAAATCCCCGGGCCCATCGGCAGTCACTCCGCTTTCTTCCCAGCCTGACCTACTGCCGATCTCACGCAGTCACTGGCCTACCTCTCTGCAGAGGTGCCCAGTCTGTGTACTTCACACAAATGGAATCATATAATATGTGGTCTTTTGAGTGGCTTCTTTTACTTCCCGTAATATTTTTGAGGTTCATTTGTGCGGCAGCATGTGTTAGTGCTTTATTTCTTTTCCGTGCCAGGTAATATTCCACTGCATGGACAGAGCACATGCCATCCATCCACTGGTCAGATGACAGCCATGTGAGCTATTTCCACCTTTTGGCCGCGATGAATAATGTTGCTGCGAACAAGCACGTCTTGTAAAGTTTTGACCTCTCTGATTTAACTTTTCCTGATCCTTCAAGGCCCCGTTCAAAAGCGACAGGCCCCCCGCTTCGCAAGAGCCTCGGCCCCTGTGACTTTCTCCACCTCGGCAGAGCTGAGCGCCCCTGCTTTATGCCATCGCCTGCCACCTTGTACGTCTCTGTTAATAACAGGAAAGGCATCGCTCATTTGTCACCGACTGCCAGATACATTGTGAGCACTTCCCGAATATTCATTTGCAACTCCGAACCGCTTTAGGAGAGAAGAATATTATTACCTATTTTTCGATAAAGGACGCAAAGGCACAGAGAATTTAGGGCACTCGCCCAAAGTGACCGCAGCTGGGACCCAAGCCTGCTCCACCCGTGCACATTTAACTACTATTCTAGGATGCCACCTGCCATCGTCTATTGTAACCGTTCATTTCCTACATTAGACTGTGAACCCTTGAGGGCTAGACCTGCCTGATCGCTTCTGAACACCATATTCCCAACAAAGCGCTGGGTATATGCTAGGTGCTCAAAAACATTTGTTAAAGTAAAAATATTTGCTACATCAAATGCAAAACTTAAGAGAGGGGACTACGTTTTTGAAGAGTAGCTGTAAGAAGGGACTGTTTTTCTTATGGGCAACAGAGGTAGGGAGTCTGCTCGGTCACTACAATATGACCCTATAGGCTGTTAATATGGTTACTAATGATGGGGGAGGGGGAGAAGGAGAGGGATGAACAGAATGTAAGAAGCTGCTGGGCAGTTTTTTCAAAATACACGTGGCTAGGCTCACTAAAATCTCAGAACCTATTGAGTTTAAAAATGTTTCCCAAATGTTAATACCATCCCATTTGAGAGGCAAATAATATGATGGATTTATTTAGCATTTCTTCCTATCAGTTAATGAAGAAACCTGAATGGTTGCTGGTATCAAACCTAAGCCGTTAACTTGGGAGACGCTCATGATGAATGAGAACTCCAACACGGGCCTGGCCTGAAACAGCAGGAAACAAAGCCGTCTTCAGATCCTCAAGTCCGTAACGAAGCTCTTCAGTCCCTTCGCCCAGCAATTTCACACAGCATGGGAAAAGTGTCAGCATTCTCAAACATTCCAATGTGCTATTAAGATTAGTGCCATCTTTACAGTGACAAAAATTAGACATTCTCTGTTGAATTTCAGAGCCCCAAGAATGAAAAGCTTGAAGCCACTTTTCATTCATTCAGTATATAAATCTCACCAGTTAGGAAAACTCCTACCTGGTTTTGCAGACCCCGTATCAGCCTGTCCTGACTGCTTTCTCCTTTTGGCTTCCTCCACTGGATTTTCAAACTGGGTTTTCTGGTTAAGGTGGCTGTAAAGTGTAGAAAAACATGCATTTCAGTTGAAGATGAAAGAGTTACATTATTTTAAAACTGACCATCAGACCATGCCACCCCCACAGTGTAAGGGGCAGGTTCGGATCTTTAGGCGCGGGACACAGAGCAGCTGACACATCGCCGAGGGAGGGGCTTTTGGCAACTAAAGGAGAGCCCAGAGGTGATGCCTAGAAGTCGAAGCTGCTGAAGCAATCATGACAGCTTCTTCATAAATGTAGGGCGAGAGGGGAAAAAACCTCAAATAAGATATAAATAAAGGCACATGAAAACAAAAACCAAGTTTGAGTCCAAATATATATATTAAAAAAACTGCAGGAGAAGGAAGCCTTCATAGCTAATACAACCAGAACTGTTGGTAACTTTTAGACAAAGGTAGTTAACAGTCAGAGGGTGTTACATTTCTCTAAAAAGAAGCAGCTATAAAGACACTTTTGAAGAAATCCGAGTACAGAAGCCTTCTAGAATTTTACTATTTTCCACTGAGTCGCCCACATCAATTTAGCAGCAAGAAAGAGGTTTGCTTTTATCAAATTACATTCTTAGAGAACGACTCTTCCACACTTAAATTTCTTCTTAATTATATAATGATTAAATGAATTACATAATTATAACATAAGTTTAACTGATATTTCTGATTTGGGGGCACTTGCAATTGACCTGGAAAGCACACGGGCCTGCGGGGGAAGGCGGAGAGGAGGGAACAGAGAGGGCAAGCGATCAGCCAGGCGCAGCCAGGACCCTCCGGGCTGGCGTGCGCGCTGCCGAGGGACAGGGCCGGGGCTGCCCCGGCAGGTCGGTCTGCTGGCCGCAGGCTAAGGACGCAACTGCTGGGCAAGATGTTTAGGGCCACAAATAGGCCTCACGCAGAAGCAATGGGAATGATACTCCAGCACTTGCAAAGCGCAAATGGGTTTCAGCCGAAGGACAGGCACTTTCCAGCAGAATCCATTTTTCAAAAAGTGACGTTCCTGAACGCCAACAAAGATCAAGCCGACAGAATTTCAGGTTATGACTGTCTTTACATGGGCTGAGTATTACAAAATCTGCACAGGCATAGCCACACAGCATGAATAATTCCTTTGCCATTTGTGAACATTAATGGTGGCGGTGGCGGCGGAGGGGGCAGCTGCTAGGCTTCTCCTTCGTGTCGCGTCTGGAGAGCCCTGAGGCTGATGCAGTTACTACGTTTCAGAGCTAAAGACGGAAGGTTCTGCCTGACAATTCTGGGCTCTGATGTCACGAATACTCAAGGACGCTCCTGCTTCTGGCTGCGAGGGGCACCTTACCAACTGAGTTAACTGTTCGACCTGCTGCGAAAATGAAGATCATTGTGTTCAGCTCAGTGCTATTTTTAAAGTTATTCATTAAATACTGACATTTTCATATTCTTGAAGAAAATAGAACAACTAGAAACTGACACTTAAAAAAAGAAAAAGGAAGAAACCCATTTAGTAAGGACCTTGGCTCCCTCATCATCACCTAGAGCTGGAATGACTCACTCTGCCCCCCAGACATCAGACCATAGAAAGTAGCAACTTGTATCTATCCTCTTTGCAAAGTGTGGGAGAAGAGAATAGAAGTATGCAAATGAGGAATCTTTTTCCTGAAAATTCTTTGACAAAAGAAAGAGCATAGTAAAGGAACTGCATCTGCCACCTTAGACCACCTGGATGACAATGCTGCCCAAAAACAAAACAAAGAAGTAAAAACACTCTCGGTTTCATTTAGCTACCTGCATTTACAATGTTGTTAAAATGTAACAGATTTTGTTTTCTGTATAACTAGCTATGCAAAGAAAAGGAGATTAAAGATGATCAGAAAAATTAAGGGTAGCAAACAAGCATGATTAAATATATTTCTATAATTTGGAATCTCATCTGTGTTAAAAGTTTTCTGTGTACTCTATGGATTTTAAAAATTCACCTCAGCAAACAAAGCCATTATTCTTTTATGAAGAATCTGAGATATTAAAGCAGATGTGTATCTTCTCTTGGTTACCAAAGTGCACCAAGACAGTTAATGCAATACAACAGGACAATGTTCCTGATGTAGGCATTCTTCTACAAGGCCTGCCATTAAATTTTTGGAACAATTTTATTTTCAAAAATAAATTAATCCATTTCAGAATCTCAGACTCGGAAATAAATACTCACAAAGAAACACTGCCACTGCAGTCAGCGTTACTACTACCAGGCTCCTGCCAAAAGCAATCAGCGTGCCATCTGGTTTGACAAACTGAGAGAGCCAAAGAGTAGCCATTCAAGCAACAGCTTTTTATCTCCATCAGCAAACTCGCTGCGGATTTCTGTGGTCGCAATTCCAGAGCTAACCAATCTGGGATGGCAGCCACATTCCACAGCTCAGCTGACTCCACACTCATGTGCATCTTGAGTACAGCCTGCTCTTTCTTAATCTAATAAATTATCCGCCTGTAAAATGAGCTCGTTCTGGGAACAATCAGACCAAATCCTGTGGCTGCTGCTGCTCATGTCGGCTATTCCACGTACCTCGGTGGCAGCTGGGAGCAGGTCACTTCGGGGTTTGCCCTCAAGTTGCTTCGCTATTATAGCCTTGTTTAATGAGAACCACATCATTTAGCCCAAGAGTTTGTAACAGGCAAATGACTTTCACCTCTGGACCACGTATTCAAACTCATTTAGGATGGACAATAAGAGAATGAGAATCATTATCTCAGAAATGTTCAGAAGTGTCTGTGGCGCATAAGAGTTGACTGAAGCCCAATTTAAATCGACTAAACTACTAGGGAGAAAAAAAAAATCTCACAAAACCCTTTTGGTTGGCTTTCAAATGTTCTTTGGACTTCAAAAATGTTTGTTTCTTTATTGTAACTAAATATACATTAGAGAAAAATAGCCAAAGAGCTGCTGGATACTTCTCACATCACAGTATCAGCAAGATATTTAATAGCACAATGGAAATAAAATGAGCACAGCCTGTCAAAGGAACCAAAATATTGACGTTGACAAGTTACAGATTTAAGGGTCAAACTTACTGAGTCATTTCCTTAGGGTACAAGTTACATTTTTAAGCATTTCCCAGAATCCCTCTAAGCGAAGTGACTCCAGGAACAATCCCACGTTAGAATAGACTCGAGTTACAAACAGGCATCAGAGGTTCTTTAAGGATAAATACCAGGAAGTGGAATTTGTTTACATCAACACATGATAACAAATTAGTAAGCAATCATAAAACTAGAAGATTCTCAGGTCTGCTACTTTTCCCAGATAACAATATCATTTTGCTTTCACTACCCAGGCAGTAGGTTCAGACTCCTAGTTTCCAGGGAAACAGTAACATTTCTGATGCAATTACTAGTCTGGTACTAGATGCTGGAGGTCAAAATTGTATCTATAGCATTTGGAAGGAATGCAACCTCAATGATCATAACAATGTAGCAATTTGATAAATGAAGAAAAGGGAAAGAAAAATTAGATGCTGATGTTATCTTAATTTCTCTGGCTGACGAAGGCAGATGTTTGGTGTTTCATGCCAACCAACATATATTTGTTTAAATGTGACCATACCAGCTGCGTAAGAAGCAGCTTTCACTCATCCCCCCAAAACTACTAAGTTTTCCTTGATTCAACTCCTTAAAAGAGAGAACACTTTTAATCATATACTTCAGAATTTTGGATCCTATGATACACTGACCTTCAAGTTCTTTCACTGTTTTCGGAACCGAACGGTGTTAGTGTTGGAAGTGACCTTCAGAGTTCGCATGTCACAGTTCTCCACCCACCACCTTTCCGTTAGAGGCTGCAGTAGTGACGATGACGTCTCCAGCTATTCATCACCCCCAACTGCCCTCTAGCTTCCCGGAAGCCGGAGTCAGGAGGTGACTGCTCAGGCCCCGCCCTCTCATCCCCCCCCCCCGCCCCCCTGCCCCGGGGACACCGTCAAAGCTGGACCGCAACGCAGGAAGCAGCACTCGGTGTTCCCTAAAGCTGAGCAATGAGAGCAGCGCATTCGGGAGAGCGGCACCTGGGATAACAAACTTACTCAACGTAGTATGTCCCATACTGAGGGTCCTCTATTTTCTCCCAGCCATAAGGAAGTTCTGGAAAAGAAAAGAAAGAACTGAATGAACTGCCAGATTCAAAAACCGACAGAAGAGAATTTGCCAACGAGTGAATTTAAATATGTGGGAGACAGAAAGCTGAGGGCTCATTTTCAAAGGGCCAACGGTTTGAGTCTGGGTGGCTTCTTCAAGAGCCAGGGAGTCTCAGCAAGTCATTTGAACCTCAGAACATAAGATGACATTAAACTCAAGGGTGTTTATCTGAATCACAAGCCATAAAAATACTAATCCTTTAAAAAAATCACCTGGCATAGAGTAAGTCCCTCCTTCTCCTTAAGGGATACATTCCAAGACCCCCAGTGATGCCTGAAACTGCAGACAGTACCGAACTCTATTTTTGCTGTTTTTTTCTACACATACATACCTTTTCACTTAAAAAAGCACTTCATGGTTTCTCTTTGGCATCTCTGAACTGTCAGCATCTTGTGCCCTTTCGGGCCATTATTGAGGAAAACAAGGGTGACTTGAACGCAAGCCGTTCCGTAGTGGGACAGTCGACACCATAACCTGGACGGCTATTATGTGGCTAATGGGTGGGGGTGTATGCAGTGTGGATGCGCTGGACCAAGGGAGGAGTCAGGTCCTGGGCCGGACAGTGCAGGACAATGCGAGATTTCATCACGCTACTTAGAACAATGCGCGATTTAAAACTTATGAATTGTGTATTTCTGGAATTTCCCATTTAATACTTTCAGACCATGGTTGTCCACAGGCAATGGAAACCGCAGACACTGGAACTACGGACGGGCAGAGAGAGCCACTGTCGCTCTTTCATTTAAAAAGCCTGGTGACGCTGACATGAGACACGCTTATCCTGCAGCCAGTTCAAGCAGCAGCTGCTCACTGAAGTTTTCACTATGATACGTAAGATCTGCCAGTTATTTCTATTATATTCTGACCCACTTCTCCCCAAAGGAAAGTCCAGCCTTGGATTTTTGCCATTTCAAGTGGGCAACCTAGATTTGCTTAAAATCAAACAAAATACCTACTTTCCCTTGCATTAACTTGGTCTGAATATCTGAAGGAAATTTTATTTAACTACCATAGTGTCTTGTATAGAATCCATATTTGTGTGTAGTAGCAAAGAAATAGCTTACATAGGATCATAATATACTATTTATTCCCAGTAACTGACCTGTAACATATAACCAAAAATACTGAAGATTTTTCCAACATAAACCGACTCTGTCAAGAAAGAATCCTCTTTTCTCTCCCACTCTGTTTTCTCAAGAATCATTTCATTAGTCAGACACGGATTAGGTTGGCAGAAGTGTTCCTAGCAGGTGGCTTTAGTGCTGTCTATTACACATAGGAGCCCAGCAAGAAGGAATTTTCAACAGACCCACAGTTGCGCCCTATGATGAGCCCCCACTTTTATTTTCAATTCCTTTTAGAGTGTTTTTCTGCTACGCTAAAGCACACACATGAGAGTATACACATACAGGGTATGGCAGACAGAAAATAGTCTGCAGTGTAGCAAAAGATTTGTTAATGTTATATCATTTAGCCGATTATGATATCAACTTAATCAGTAAAAATTCCACTATAATGAACCTAACAAGCTATGCAATCTCTTACGCTCCAAGAAGTATTATTCCACGTTCAGAATAAAAGGAGACCGTAGATGACTAGGCTCTTGATGAAAAAATCTCAGTCACCTCCATCCATCCCCTTTTTCCAGCGTATTTTCTTCGTGTGTGTGTACGTGGGCGGGGGGCGGGGGGGAGGCAGCGGGGTGATGGGTGGTTTTGAACCCTGGTGAGGCTTTATGGTTTTCCTTTGAAAAACCAGGTTGAAATGTCTGAGGTGGAAAAGATGAGACTAACTGGAAAGTAACTATGGGTGAAAACAGAATAGAAGAATTGAGAAACATTTCAGTTCACTTTGATCCTCCACAGCTATGAAACAAACCACCGCCAATTAACCAGGAACAATATTTATGACCAAGCAACTGTTACTTGGATAACAGTATTTGTTGAATTATATTTGTAAAAATGTTCTATAATTATATATATTTTTAAATTTATTGATTTGAGAGAGAGAGAGAGAGAGACATAGATTTGTTGTTCCTCTTATTTATGCACTCACTGGTTGACTCTTATATGTGCCCTGACCAGAGATTGAACCCACAGCCTTGGTGCAGCAGAATGACGCTCTAACTAACTGAGCTACCTACCAGGGCAGAGCTATTCTATAGTAACATTACCAAGGCATTATCATTAAGGATCTTCCATGAAAGGAAAAGGATTTTCCTTTTAATAGAAATTTTCTTCAACTAGCATGGGAACTGAATGGTACTATGTAAAGATGAATTCTACAACCTCACACAACTGGATTGATTACCCTTTGTCTGTAGAGAAGTTTGGAAAAATCGAAGGAACTATAGAGATGGGCAAAACATCCCATTTGCTATCTGAAAACTTCACTAAAAAGAATGTATTACTGCTTAATAAGGATAAAAGATCGACATAAATATACTTTAGAGTTAACTTGGAAATTAATTCAGCATTTTAGTTGACACTTAAAGCAACGGGCAACTAACAGATAAAGTACAGCCCTCTCTTTAGGAGAGTGAAACTGATCCTTTACCTTGTGAGTTACTTTAAGGAGTCACCATAAAGTCTTACCAGTGAGTGATGCCGTTGCCAGTGTTTTGGCAGGCCAGATTTAATACGGAGAAAGAAGTGATAATTTGTCCATTTAAATAAAAGCAAGCAATAAAAGCAAGACTAAAATACCTAGCAATTTTATATACTATCCAGTGGGTCAATTCCTTCACCGATTTCCTTTTTTCTTCCTTTTTTCCTTTCTCCCTTCCTTTTCTTCCTCCTCTTTCCTTCCTTATGCAAAACTAAAATTAGAAACACAATTCTTGGCCCTGGATGGGTAGCTCAGTTGGTTGGAGCATTGTCCAACATGCCAAGGTTGCAAGTTTGATCCCCAATCAGGGCACCTACAAGCAGCAACCAATGAATGCATCTATAAGTGGAACACCAAATCAATAAATTTTTCAAAAAGTTTTTTAAAAAAGGAAACAAAATTCTTGACCCCCAGTAGGTCAGTCTAAATGGGAAGATGGAAGAGATAAACAATAAAATGAAGATTAAACACAGACTTTTGGGGGGCAGTGCAAAAGAATGACACCAATTGCCTGGTGAGAGGCACTACCAGGAAAGCCTTCTGAAGGAGGGTGACGTTTGGGCAGCCTTAAAGGGTGACCCAGGGTGGGGGAGGGGCGGCCATCCAGACAGGCCCCAGAGCGCTGAGGCGTAAGGATGCCTGGCATTTTCAGTAATTACAAATAATTGGCCTGGGCTGGAGTGAAGGGTATGCGTGAGGTGCTCTCTTATAAGCAAGCACACACCTGGAGTGCCATGGAAGGAGTTTGACCTTTGTTTTGATGGTGATGGAACTGATTAAGCTGGACTGTGTTATGATTAAATTTACATTTGAGAAAGATTACGGGCAGCAGTTGCAGAGGATGAAATGGAGTGAAAATAAAGGCAGACAAATAAAGAAAATCATTAATAGCCTAGATAAGAAATTATGAAGGCCGGAGATAGGGCGGTGGCCGTGGGAATGGAAAGAAAGAACGGGTAACAGAGACAAGGAAGTCACAGCAATTGGGCTCCATGATCAACGTGAAGATCTGAGGGAGGAGGCCAAGGTAATTCCCAGGTTAATGGCTCTTCTGGCATGAACGTGATAAAAATAAAATAAGCCGTCAAATATTCATTAAATGTCTACTATGAACTAGCTGTGGGAAGAGGAAGAAGGTATGAATTTGGATTCAGCGGAATTTAGCAGACAGACACACGTATAGCAAGGCCTAGTGCAGCAATCTGCCTGGGTGTCCCCAGGCCTGCCTCGTGGGCGGGGCCTGCCGCTGGGCACAGAGGCCACAGGCGTCTGCCTCCTGCAGGGAAAAGCGTGAGTGAGTCCACACAGACGCAGAGCCAAAGCTGCGCCGGTCCGCTCATCAGTGGCATTCTAACCTCATTTCTGTTTCCTGTGTTTTCATTCTCTTTTGCCTCTGAACAGGTGAGTGGAGACAGGCTTGTTATTTATCGCCTCAGCCAGAACTCCATCAAGAAGGATGACCACGACAATCTGGGGGATGGAGCAGCTTCTTTCCTTCCTTCCTCCCTCCCCGCCCTCCAAACACTTACTGTATTTTGCTGTGTATAATGCGCACCCACGTTTTTGGCCCGAACTTTCAGGAAAACAATTTTTTAATATAAATTAAAAATTGAATTAAAAAAATTATTTATTTATTTATATTTAGAAACAAAACCAATTATCGTATTCCAGGTATCATTTTGCATATAGATATCATTATTGCTTTTTAGAGTTACACTTTTAACACATAAGCATAAATAAAAGAATTAAAAACATTGATACAGATACAGAATTCGCACTTCCCATGTATAATGCGCACCCTTATTTCCCCCCCAAGAATTTGGGCAAAAAAATGTGCACGACACACGGCAAAATACAGCAAGTCTCTACTGAAGGGATATGCTGATGAATAAGACAAAATTATTCCTCCTCTAGAGTGTAGGTATTTAGAAACAATGTAATATAAGTAGTGTTATAATAGATAGATGCGATACAGTGCTGTTGAGCAGTGGAGAGGATCCCCGTTTCCGGCCTGGAAGAGGAGGGAGGAGTGACAGAGAAACTGCACTGCAGCTGCGAGTGTGGGAGGGGGCGCAGGCTGAGCCGGGTGGTCACGCAGCACAGGGCTGGGCCCTGGCCGGTAAGCGGCCACAGAGCAAAGGCAGAGACAGAAACAGGTCACATTTATGACACGAAAATACTTGGAAAAATATAGATTAGGATTCAATTATATAAAATCGCTGCTACTTCCCCAGGAAGTCTAGATTTATTCTGCTGACAGCAGGGAGCCATTACAGGTGTCTGAGCGGGGAGGGTTGAATGAAGTGGCGTGTTAGGAAGATTAACAGGCAACGGAGCCAAAGTTTTTTGAACATGTAGCCTTATCATTCAAAAACCTGAACATGTACCTCCAAGATACGTATATTTATGCATAAATATGATGCACCGCTCTACTAATATGTATGAAATAAAGCATATGCAAAATAGGAAAGCCGTCAGCTCTGCCGTCTCCTTTCCTTGGGCTTGCGTGTTTGTATCACCTTCAATAGGTACTACCTTCGCAGAAAGATTTTTAAAGTTGCATTTCAGTTTTGTCTGGATTAAAAACTATGTAACATGGTCTCTAAACCCACTAAACTGGGCACAAGTAAACTGCACAACTCCACAGGGCCTTGGGCATGCGCAATGAACGCTCTGGGGAGTTGCTGCGTGTGATGGTTGCACACGGTCACACACAGGGTTGCCAACCTGTATCTAAAACAGTAAGAGAATCTTAATTTGTTCTTTTTCCTAAAAGAAACATGATGAAAAATAACCAAAAGACAGTTTGAACACCAACGTTTTGGAGATCACCGGTATAAGGGAAAATATTGGAGAAGTAACTCCAGGGGAAAAAAAAAATCTAAGGATAAGGCAAATGTGTGGGGGTCAGAAGAGTGCAGGGCAAGATAGGAAAAAAGTGCGACAGAAAGAGGACGGGGGACAGGCGCGCTGTGGCAAAGCAAACACAGCAAAATGTCCACTGTGATGTGTCAGCGGCGGGCAGACGTGTATTCACTATAAAATTATCCATTTGTCTATACGGTGACAAATTTCCGTACTGATACATTGGCAAAGTACAGGGAAAAGCAAGAGCAACAGTGCTTAGAAATGATACAGGCAATAGAGCGAGAGGGGAGGAAGAAATATGACTGCAAGGGTTTGGGCCCCGATGACTATGGGATGGTATCAAAGACAGAAAGAGGGCGGGGTGATTTTAAGAGAAAAAATGTTTAGTTTTAAGTTTGTTTATTTGAAGTGCTAGTAGGACGATCAAAAAGAAAGTCAATAGGAAATACAGAAATAGCATTTCGAACAGAGAACAATACCAGAGATTTAGATAAGGGACCCAACTACAGTAAATTGATAGTTAAAGCGATGAAAATGAATACACTCTCCAAGGGAAAACAGGAAACAGCAGAGAATTGAACTCAAACAATTAGTAGGCAGGAAAAAGAATGGAGACCAGCAAGAGACATGCCTGAAAAGACAAATACCACAGTCTCTAAAAAGTCAAATTCTATAGTGTTATATAGATCAGTTTACAGTGGCTGATTTCACCACAAAGAACTTACTGCCGAAAGCCTTACAGACAAGGGTAGTATGTTATAAAAATGATTTTTAAAATTATTTCTTAACATAACAAGTGTTGGAGAGATTGTGGAGAAAAAGGAACCCTCGTTCATGGCGGGTGGGAACATAAACTGGTACAGCCACTGTGGCAAACAGTATGGAGCTTCCAAAAAGTTAAGAATAGAGTTACCATAGGACCTGGCAACCCCTCTTCTGAGTATCTACCTGAAAAATGTATTTGTAAAGACACATGAACCCCTATGTTCATTGTAGCATGATTCACAGTGGCCAAGACGTGGAAACAACCGAAGTGTCCTTCGCTCGATGATTGGATAAAGAAGATGCGGTACATATATAAAATAGAATAGAGTCTTTGTACGTACATATATATCTTAGAATCAGCCTGTCGATTTCTTCAAAAAATAACTTTTAGGGTTATATTTAATATAGATGTCAAGTGAGAGAGAATGAACATCATTAATAATACTGTGTCATCCAGTCTATGAACATAATATATCTCTTGAATTATTTTAGGTCTTCATTAATTTCTTTCAGAGATGTTTTACAGTTTTCAGTGTAGAACACTTTCCTACCTTTCTGAATATTTGCTCCGTGGTATCTAATTTTTAAAAAAAATCATTGCAAATAGAATTTTAAATAATTCCATTTTCCAAGTGTTTGTTACTAGGAAAATTCTCAACATTGCAACCATCCTGCACAATTCTGTTTAATATTTTTTAAAGACTGGAATTCAATCTATAGGGGGAACTAGGCCACTTCTAAGCCACTTTTTTTTTTTAAACTAAGGTAATTCATTCCTGATGAGTGATAAAAAATAAACACATTTTTTTCATCTGCACTCCACAGTCAAGAAGGCATAGCAAACAATTTTGGTTGAATTCATTTACTTGTAAGACTATACCACTAACTACAATCTGTAATATACAAGACAGACAAGCATTATTATCCAATGATTCTTAAAGAAATAATTTCACTACTAAGCAGTAAAAATTGTGGGGTGTGGGTTTATTAAAGACTTTCACTGGGTTTCCAATGCTGCTCTAAATGCCTGAAATTAGCCATAAATACCAGCATACTTAGCCTTGTGATACTAAATTAAATATATTTTTGAAGGCCTAACAAGTATGATGAGGCTACCCTGTGGTTGAGAATGTACCTACTTTATTAAAATAGTTACTTAGAACTTTTAAAGTTTGTCAAGTTTGTCTAGTATTTAAAAAGTTTATCTTTAAAATAAATGTAAAAAGGGAGACAAATTTATTTGTATTCAGGTTTTTTAAAAGGGATTTAACTGCGTAATCCTTAAGAATAGAGAAATAAAGTCTCTCGTTAAATTAGATGCAATGACATGATTACCAGGCAGTTGAATATGATATCTACCCGGTGCTTACGGGCTTCTGCACACTACGGTTCGTTTAGGATTCTGGAAAACCCATCATATACGCAAGAAGAGCAACAAGGGATTAAGAGAATATGGTATAAAAAGGTTTCTGACTCTACCTCCATCTTCACAGTCTTCGGGGGCTTTGGCTTTCTTACAAAGACGAGGATCCAACCAGGTGGTTGTTTTGGTGTTGTGGCTGCAGAAAAAAGATTTCAATTAGAAACAGCAACATAGGATGGCGAAAAAAACATACCAAAAACAAAGTCTGAAGGCGACTAACTGGTATGTGATGCTAGAATATTCATCTCCTACGGGCTTCGTTAGTCCACTTCTGAGTCAATGCTGCTTCCAGTCTGTTACTGCAAAACTGCCTTAAAGGGAACTTAGTGCTGGAGGCAGGGATTCTAGAATGAAGATTCTAAAGACGGGAGAAGATGCCAAGTGCAGAATAACAGACACTTTTTAAAGTGGTCAAGATGTTTCAAAGGGTGAGCTACAGCCCCATGCTGTGTATTATCGCTGAAAACCTTATCTGCTTGCTGGCTGAATGCCTTCCTCCTTCCCTAAAAAACTCACTGTATTTCTTGAGTCCTTGTGATGTGTGGCGGCTGTGCTTGCGGCTGGGAATAGAGATGAACAACCAGACACAGCCTCTGGATGCCCGGGGCTATTTAAAATGGACCAATGCAGAGTTAAATGAAACAGAGAGCTTTATGGTGTCTGTCTGTGCAACCTGCAAGTAAAAATGATGGGTAACCTTAAACCCAACTCCATGCAGTTAAGTTTTCATCAGTATGGGCCATATATGTAACAGAAAAATAAAAGGTGGGACAAAAAGATCACCCCGCACCCCTCTGTATGAAGCAGGCCACAGATGCTCCCAAGGAGCAGTGTCTGTTTAATGTCATTAGAGGCCACAGCCAGGCTCAGGCCAGGTTATCACGCAGCAGATACGGATGCTGCAGCAAAACCATCACACTGCTGGCTGGGCAAACAGTGTTATGCTGTAGTGTAAGTATCTGAAATATGAGGGTAGTAAAGAAAGAAAAAAATCACAGAAGCAAATACATAGGAAGGCAACAGAATGAAAATGGAAGTTATCAAATAGAGAGTAACAAGGTGAACAAGTTATCTCTTCCTGGGGTCTTTATCATGAGATCAACTCACTAATCTGCTACAATGGCCACTTGTAGGAGACGGGGCTAATGGTCCCAGGGAATGGATCATCTCTTCTTATACTGTTTCTAAGTCCTGAGCCACCGACAGGGCCAGCCCTTGCACGCCCTGTCAGGCGTGACACTAGGCTGTGGGGGAAACTGTGTCCTGAATACGGATAATCTAAGTAGGAGACATTGGGATTGTTTCTAGAAAGTCTGTTATCCCTTCTGTTAGATAATTTCTCCAGTTAAATCAATTTTAGCAAAATGAAAAGGATTAAGAGGCCTAGTGGTACACGCATTGTTAAAAAAAAAAATCTTGAGCATATCTTACAAAACCAAATTAAAAATGGCTACTTTAGAAAAGCTAACTTTGGTTTCAATGAGCCAAAATTTTTACTGCTAAATTAGCAGACATACGCTATCCACTAGGATTTTACCCGCTACTTCTGAAGGGAAAGAAATGCCCATGGGGTTAGACCCAAAACATAACAGCTAAAGCCTACAGACCAGTGCTATTTACTTACAGATGCATGATTCAACAGCACCAGTAACACAGACCAAACACATTAGCTACAGCAAATGAGAGGATCATATTCTCTAGCAGCAAAAACCATTCGGCTCTGGTCTGGATGTTAACCCCTTATCAGATAATGATTTCCAAATACCCGCTCCCACTCCTTAGGCTGCCTCTCTTGGCGGACTGTCTCCCTCGGCTGCACCGAGGGCTGCGGGTTGGATGGGGTCGCATTCCTCTACTGCAGCCTTTGCCACCTGCGCTTTTCGTGTCATGCCCAGGAAGTCCTTGCCAAATTCAATGTCATAAAGCTTTGCCCCTGTGTTTTCTTTCAGAAGTTTTGTAGTTTCAGATCTTACATTTAGGCCATTAATCCATTTTAATAATGTTCACCAACAAAGACGTTTCTTGTATAAATTCCCCACCCCCCTAATTTACTAACTTATCCCAGTTTGCAGGGTGAAGTACTCTCAGATTCAATGTCTCATAATCTGTTTCTAAAGATATTCCAGCCACTTGTAGTGAGTGACTCTACACCTTACTTGAGGGGTTAGTTCTAAAGTCAGCATGAAAGTCGAAAGTCTAAATTACCCTTGAAAAACCCCTTAAATTGCCCACAGAGAACGGTATACCTGATTTTTTTCTGTTGCATATAATCCTGGTCATAAATGTTTATATAAATCTCTAGCAAAATCAATAATTTATCACACATGGTAAAAAGAACACATGCACACAAAACCTATGTTTTTTAAACACTAGAATCTTACTTGGTACAGCAAGATGCTCATTCTAGATGAAGGATGTGGGATTTGGGAGCAATTGAGGAAACGCATTCAAATCTCCCACCCCGGATTCATTTCTGAGGATATGTTCTTTTCTGAGTGTAGTATCCTGTCCTCAGTATTGAAATTATTATATTCTGTAATTTTACTACATTGATGTTCTACCTCTGGGTAAATTAAAGATGAGAACTACAGCTGCATGAGAATATAAAAATACTTCATAATGAAACTGTTAATAATTATTTATATAATATTCTCAGGTGTAAGCAATATGAAACTTTAGGTTGGCTGAATACACCTAATATTCTGTATTTCTGTAAACATAAGCATATTCATAGTGCCTTTTTATAAAATAGTTTTTTGTGTGTGTGAACATGTATTTTACCAATTACTTTGAGGATCAGTGATTTCCCCCTGTATCCTATTTGACTGTACTGCCTGAACACATCAAACCCAAACTCTAGGACTGAAAATATTCAGCTCAGAGAAGAAATATGTCCTCCCTCATACAATAATTATTGAGATACTCATTAAGTGGGACGCCATACCCAAAAGTTAAAAAAAAAAAACCCAACAAAAAACAAGCAGGGCATTTTTCATTATTAATGATAAATCTGTTTCTAATCCTTTTGTTTTTATAAAACAAGAGATCGAATACACTATTCCTTTGTCTAAGTCAAATAAAAACAAAACACCATCCAGGGGAAAAAAGTCAGGTGAAGAATCAACTATAACATGGATGAGAAATATTTTTATTTCACGGAAGCCTTGAGAAGCGAGCCTAACCATCCTGCGGACAAGCCTTGCAGCGCAGGCTGCGTCTGCGAAGGGGCAGGCACCGCTTACTCGATGAAGTAGATCATCCCCGCATCCGTGTAGGCCATCTCCCAGTTCTTGGGCAGCGGCTCTAGGTTCTCATCTCGCAGCATGTAATTCCTGAAGTCCATGGAGCTGTTGGTTTGGTTGTAACTCGGGACGGTCTTCATCCAGTCGGACGACTCCGAGTGCCTCTCCCTGTTTTCTGTTCAAAACGGAAAAGGATGGCAAGTAGGTAAACGTATGCTCTCTTCCAACAGCCCTCTTTGTTTCTCACAAAATGCCACATATTTACCACAAATTTCCTTGTCTTTTGTATCCACATCTTACTATAATTTTTGGAAAAACAAATAAATCTACTGGATTTTTTTTTTTAATTTGCTAAATGGCATTAAACCCTGCACAACACCTCGGATGCTAGTCTGGGAAAGAAGCAAACAACAACTCCGGAATCAATTCAGTACACACTGAGCATCTATTAGCCAACAGAATACTAGCAACAGCAGCCGTAGGAGCACTCACACATCCTTTTACATGTCAGGCTCTATTTTAAGCTCTTCACATATATTAATTCATAACCCTCACTCAACCTCATGAGTATATATTACTACTCCCATTTTATAGGTGAGGGAACTAAGGCACGGCGAGGTCAGGTTAATTCAGTTGAGATTACACAGCTAATAAACAGCAAAGCCAGGATGCTGACCCGAGTGGCCCGTGCTCCTAACTGCGACACCAGGCTGCCCCACATGCATTTAACGCTGGCCCTTCACATAACACTGATGTTTAAAAATCGCACTCAACAGACTTCTTAGCGTTAAATATAATTCTCCGTTGGAGATATTAAAATCCTTTTAGAGTCTCGAAGTCCATAGGTAGGTAAAAATACTAAAATTTGGTTACTGTCCAGGGAGTGCACACTTCACTTGAAACTTGTTTCCAAAACTTAGAGACAGCACAACCGTAGTAACTCCAGACTGCAGTCAGCGCCTCCGAATGAGCCTCGTGGAGGCGGCCCTGGACGTCGTTCCACGGCACCCCTCACCCGTGCGGCGCTCGCTCTCCACCCCTCCGCTGTCCCAGCAAGCTCCCAGATCCTTCAACCCTGGTACACCCACCTCCGCTGTTCTCACCCTGACCCGTGCCCTGCTCACCAAGGACATATGAATCTCCACACTGGAACAAAGTCGCGGTCTCTAACCCGAGTCTTAAAAATGTTAACAGACTTAATTTTGTGGGTGAGCTAAGCTGACGTCAACATCGAAAGGCTTTATGACGGGGGGAGGGGGGAGGCAGAAGAGGGTAAAGGGGAGATAAGTGGCGATGAAGACAGACAGGACTTGGGGTGGAGAACACACAATGCAACATACAGATGATGTGTTATGGAATTGTGCACTTTAAATCCATATAATTTTATTAACTAATGTAACTCCAATAAACTAAAACAAAACAAAACAAAAAAGGCTTTACAATATGATGATTTCCCTTAACAACCCCTAAAGAATGAGGTGTGAATTCACCTAAACCTTTTCAGACCAGTTTTCACCCAAACAGACGGGGGTAATACACTAACTACGCGAGATGTTAAGACCATAAAAACAGGACTCACAGTCTGGAGGGGGCGCAAACAATGAATATATTGAAGCAATAAATATAGTCTACACAGCAAATTTTAATTACTGATACAGGAAAACATCAGGACACTTCAGGAAAGTGATATGGTGATGGGTTCTGCAAATCTAAGGACATGATCAAATCCATTTGTGTATTAGGTACCAGTAAAATATATTGTTTAGTTCCTACTACGTGCCAGGCACTATTTATGGTGCAAGAGGTATAACAATGAACAAAAGCGAAAATTCCAACCCTCAGGAAGCTTATATTGTAGTGTTTTGAAAGGAATTATTATCATAAATAGCACCGAAATTAGTTCTACTGGGATTCTGTGGTTTCTGGCTCATACTCTCAAGCAGGAGTATAAGAGTCTCCTACACAGTCACCACATTTTGAGCAGATTTCCAGAGAAGATTCTCCACCAGCAAACTCCTGTTAGTTTTGCATTTAATAAAAAATATGAGAGCCAATTTGGAAATTTTCTTTGACTGATTCTGAGTTTAAAGTCAAAGTACTTGCTAACAAACCTCTCAGATGATGTTTCCTAGCATATTTCCAAATCTCTGTGCTTTGTTTTGGTTGAAGGCTGCATCTTAAAAACAACTACATTTTGTTCATATCCTGTAAAGCTGGAGTTAGGCCAACAAGATTTCCATACTTCAGCAACAGAAAGGAATCTCAAATCTTTTAAGCAGTAGAGCAGTGATTTTCAACCTTTTCCATGTTGAGGCACACATAAACTAATTACTAAATACAAAATATATTTTTTGCTGATCTGACAAAAAAATAGGTATGATTTTGATTCATTCACACCCAAGGACTACTGTTGTGTTGGCTGTTGTCATTTTTTAATTTGACAATCTAAGGGAAAAGAGGTCAGTGGTCCTGACTAAATAGTCAAGTAGTGCATGTTTTAAAAATTCTGGCAGCACACGGGTTGAAAATCGCTGCAGTAGAATAATGTCATCTTACATTATCCCTAATGGTAGCTTATTCCTGACTTCTCAAAATGGCCACTTGCGGCAACTCACTTCAGCTTACAAGATGATTGACAGAGATGCACTTTGTTCCACAAAAAACCTTTACAAAAAATACCAGGATCCCATCATTTCCTCTACATGTGCTTTGTGAAAAGTTTTACTACTTCCAATTCAATGTCATGTTAGAGTCAAGCTGGAAGGCCACTAGGAGTTGGCCATCTGCTTACGCACCTGCATTGCTGGTGCCGTTAACAGCGTCCTTGTCCTCATCTTCCTCCTCTTCAGGAAGAGAGCTGTCCATCCTTTCCATCTTGCTGACGGACGTAGTTCGTTTTCTTTGGGATTCAGTGTCAAACTCATTATCAAAGAGGACCTGGTCGACAGGGTCGGGCTGGAAAGGGCTGGGCTCCGCTGGAGGCTTGGGCGTGCCATAGAAGTTTCCTGAAATGAACAGAGTGACAGCAGCTGGAAGTACTAATGCAGAAGTGAGAGTCACGACAATTGACCCAGTGCATGTCTCTGTCCTGTTAGCTGTCAACTAAAGTTTCTGAATAACCACCACTAGCCAAGTGGAGGTCAAAACACTGCTCGGCAGAGGAGGAGGTAGAAAGAGGAAAAATAACTAATCTTTCAAAGGCCCTTCCCCATATATTATCTAACATTTTAACATGATTTATACTAAAGCCAGCAAGCTGACTTAATGTGTACAGGTTATTTATTCTATCTTGCCTTTTTGCATGGGCTCTAACGTGGGGCCGAATTTGTGAATTGAAATGCATCACTGCTCTTGTGTAAGACTCATTGGCGTAAAAGTGGGAGTAAAGAAGAAAACCAACTCAAATAATTTTGTTCTGATGTGTAACAGAATGAACTACTTTGGTAAAATAAGGAAATATGTGGGCAAAGGATAAAGCGAAGAATTAATCAGTCTGTGTCGAAATGTAGGCTGTTTATGTAAAAGTAATTTTTGAAAGTTTTCCTGAGATTCTAATTATATCATTTTATCTGACAATTTGTTGAACAAATAGAGACATTATTAGCATAATTCAATATTGGCATACTCTCAGGAAAGCAAGAATACTTTAATATGTTAAGTCTTGAAGATCAGTAATTTTTGCAGTAAAAATAAATGTTCCAGAATAGAATGAAAACAATTGAATATCTTCTCAACTTGCCACGCAGCTCTCATTAGGCAGCCAAATATAATGGGAAGTGCTCTGTGGATCCAGCTACATTAGCAGTTTGTGGCTCCTGCTAGTTTTGACCTTGAATCAACAACTCTGCTAATGTTATAAAAAAAAAAATAAATAGGATTATGGAGTAAAATACTGGCCTTTTATTTTATTTTTTAAATCACATCTTCCAAACAAATTCCTTGGCTCCTGAGGAGGTAATTAAGATGCTCGTTCCCATAATAAATTGATGGGGTATATAATGGATTATTTTTCCTAGATGAAAAAAGCATGGGTTGTTGATCATCACACTGTGGCAAATCTACAAATAACATAGTTGACCACAGGTTGGGCATGCTTCAGAGGGGAAAGCATTAAGATAAATTCTTTGGAAATTTGACTTTAGGCAGTATTGTTATTAAAATACTCAAGGCAAAACAACAAATTCAAACTAAAAAGCTTTTGAACTACATCTCGCCTCCCCCCCACTCCACTGCCCCCTTGCTTTCAAACCCAGGTTTGAAATGGAGTTGTTCCTTTCATGCAGATGGAGGCAAAGGTTCGCATTAAAGCAGACTAAGGGGATCTCAGCAAGCTTTCTGACCCACACGTGAGGCAAGAAGCTGGCGAAAAGGCCAGTTCACACTTCCTGGGCAAAGGGCAGAGAAACGTTCCAAACTGAGGTCCGGGTAGGGAAGAGGGCACCAGCGTCTCCAGGGTGATGCCGATGATCCCATCACCACGGGACGGGGAGAGATCAAGACAAAAATCGAAGCTCTGCTTTTTCTAAGGATGGGGCTTTTACCAGAAACACATTTTAGTGTATATTCTTAGTAATTATTATCTAGCTCTAGAAAGTTTAACTTTTTGCCTAGGGTGAAAATTAGAAAAATTCAGGCCGTTATGTTTTTTTTCCATAATCACTGGTAACATTTTAGGACTTTATAATAAATTCTGGCAGTTTCCTTATTTTAAAAAATGACTGGTTTTAATAATAAGCATTGCTTATAAGTAAATCATATCTACTTTACTTGAGTTATTGGTAAATATCAAAATTGCAGATTATGGCAAGATATAAAATTACAAAGTTTGTGAACTCTGACTATAGTTATTAATAAATTTTTTTCATCCTTTTGAAGCTTTTTTGGAACTTTTTCTTTCCCTTTATTTTCTGAAGGTGTTTTCATTTTTTACAATGGAACTGGAACTATCAGATATCTTAAACATTTATAAAATCACAGACAATAGTAGTTATGGTAGTATTAGAAAACCTCCGTATTCATTTATTTAAACACCCTCCAGATATTAACTTTTGCCAGATTCTTTCAGATCTCCGCTTTTTTCCCCCTGAAGGACACACATATATGGTCACATACACTATTAAAGCCCTAACTTCCTGTCTCTGTCCCACCCACTCTCTTCAAGTTACCCTGAGGTTTGCATGTGTCACTTCCCTGCACGTGTATACATCAAGGACATATGTATATCCATGCATACATAACATATTAGTATTATTGTTCATAAAAGCTTCATAAAGTGTTCTTAAAACATTTCATATCTTTTTTTCTAAAGAGGGTACTACATGTATCCTTTTGCAACTTTCTTTTTATACAACTCTATTTCTAAGACTTAATTCCTGCTGACACACAGTTCCAGTTCACTTAACTGCTGTAGAACAGTCCATTTTAAGGAACAAATTAAAATGTATTTTATTCCTTCCCCTATTAGAAGAGAGTTGTTTCACCATTTCAAATAGCGCTACCTTGGCTGTTCCAGCCTATCCACATACGCACGTAGACAAGGGCTTCCCTAGGGCAGGCGTCTGAGAGGGAATTGCTGGCTTAGGGTTATGTGCGTCTTTGAATCTACCAGCTATTGCCAAGATGCCCCCAAAGAGACTGTATCATTTTAAACTCTCTCCAGGTGTGTTTGGGAGGAGTTTCCATTTCCCTCTATTATCACACTTTAAAATTTTTGGCAATATGATGGATGTGAAATGGTGTATGAGATTTCAATTTGCATTTCCTTTGAATTGAGCACACAGTAATTAATAACATGTAATATGCCAGTTTGTCAAATATTTAACATGTTTTTATACTTAATGTGTTTTTATAGTTATCCTTTGAATTGAGCACACATAATTAATAACATGTAATATGCCACTGTCAAATATTTAACATGGTTTTATACGTAAAATGGAGGAGAATAGCTTTGTGATCCAAAGATAGAGAACAACTTATACAAAACTTCAAAAGTACAAGTTATAAGGAGAACAGTAATAAATCTGACACACGAAAATTAACGATTTCTGTTTAATGAAGAGACGCAGGACAGGGTTATTATGTAAAAGAATGGGGGGAAACACCTATATTGGATGTGGAATCCACATCTAAATAAGTATCTAAATCTCTAAGGAATGTCTGCAAATTGGAAGGCAATTGAGATCCCATTTTTAAAATCTTGACAAAGCAAACAAATGAATAGACAATTTGCCAAAGTCCAAGAAACTAACAAGCAAATGAAAAGATGCTCAAACTCTCTGACTTTCAGAAAAAGTAAAGTTTAAATGAGATACCCACTTCTGCAACCATCAGATTGGCAAATTATAAAGCTGGAAAAGGCCAAGTGTTGCTGAGGATGTGGAGTCATTACTACTCATGCATGTCCGGCGGGAATGGAGACTGCAGAAGTATATAACCCAGCAAATCTGCTCTTGGGTATGCATTCCGGACATTCTCACGTGGGTCTATAAGAAGACATGTGAGAGAATGTTTGCTACAACTTGATTGGTGGTGATGGGGAGCTGGAGGCAACCTGAAGTCCATCACCAGGAGAAAGGTTAGGTAAGATGCAGGGGATTCAAAATACTGTGCAGTGGTTAAGAAGCAGTGAGTTATGCCCTGGCTGGTGTGGCTCAGTGGATTGAGTGCCAGCCTGTGAACCAAAGGGTTGCCGGTTCGATTCCCAGTCAGGGCACGTGCCTGGGTTGCGGGCCAGTGGGTGGGGGGACACGTAGGAGGCAACCACACACTGATGTTTCTCTCCCTCTCTTTCTTTTTCCCTTCTCCTCTCTCTAAAAATAAATAAATAAAATCTCAAAAAAAAAAAAGGAGCAGTGAGTTACATGCAAACACAGTATGGCAACATGGGGGTCTAAAAACATAGTAATTAAGTGAAAATAGCTATAACTGAATGAGATCTAGAGCACAGTCCAGATGTAAATAAATAAATAATAATAATATTGTACACAAAACAATACACATTTTGCAAGAACACATACAAACAAAAACATACATGTTAAACACATGGGAATGGCTGCCTATAAGAGGGAGGTGAAAGAAGAACAGGCTGCTTGCATAAAATAAAAACCAAGTAGCTGCTATTTCCTCTGAGAAGTCTTCACTGGCCACCTTGTCTAAATAAGACGTTCCTATTATATTTTCCTTAAGTCCTTTGTTTCTGTTTCCTTTGTTTTGACTGCCTTTCCCGCTCAGATACAGGATTTATTAAGGCGGTGTCATTTCAGTATTGCTCATCACAGTATCTCTAGTCCCTCTGATAATGCTTGGCACATAAAAGACACTTAAAAAATGGGCTGAATGAATAACAAGATGCTCAAATGAATGAACGAACTAATGAATTTGTTGGAACTAAGTCCAGAAAGGGTAGCTGGGTCAAACTTAGCAGGCAAAAGAAATCACTAAAATCACAGAAGATTCTCAAGAGGAGAGAGAACATGACCAGGGCTGTGCCTGAGGAATGTCAGGGGCGGGGGCAGAGGGGATGCTGGGAAGAAGTGGAAACAAATGGTATTAACTCAATAGCCTAGACGCAGCTCCAGCTCGCCCAGCGGGCCTACCATGAGGTGGGGAGTGAGGAGGCAGGCACCGAGAAGGGCGCCACAGGGGGACTAGACTGGGTAACAGACTGCACGGGAACGGTGAGAAAAAGGAGGCACACGATGTCTCCGTTGTTTTGAACTCATGGAGCTGCTAGAGAGAGATTATGAGGAATTACTCCCTTGGACAGAAAGCAAACACATATTTGGATATGTTGAAATCAAGGTGAGATACTTATTGAACGCCATCTCAAGGCACTGAAGATAATCTTGAGTAAGAAAGACATGACACCTGCCTTCCCTCAGCTTGTGGAAAAAGGCAGTTACAGCAGCAGATGATACAGCAGTGGCACACAGTATGGGGTACTATGGGAGCAGACACGCTTGCCAGTGAAGAGCGTTACATAAGGAATAAAAGGATCTAACGCAGAATCATTTAAAAATTGAACTTGATCTTAAATCTGTACTTCTTAGAATCAGGTGGGTAGAAAAGAGCTATAAAAAGAAAACCAAGTATTCTCTTCTTGCTGTTTTTCTCCCCCCATTCTATATTCACTTTTCTCCAACCTAGCCAAGGTATAAATAGGTTGTTTAGAGTGTACAGTATTTGAATTCCCAATCACAAACAGAAAGCAATCTATAAATACTTGCTGAGTTCAAATGATGAATTACTATGAAACATGCAAACTAGTTAATTTGAATAATTTTAGTATATTCCTCATAATTGATTTAATAATATGATGAAATGCTTTTAATTATTTAATCTTATTTTAACTAGTAAATTACAAATACCCCAATTAAAAGAAAGTTTTCCCCAAAACCAATAGGAAAAACTTTTTTTTCTAAAATCATATTTAACTGTTCAAATTCCCTCTGAAATAATTCCAGTCATTCAGATAGTTTTCTGGGTTGCTGTTTTCAATATGTGGGGAACGTACCATCATATGTTCCACTTTCTAATAATGCTCCACTCTCTTCCAGTGCTTTGAACTGTTCAACAGAAATGAAATTATAGTCCACCCCTGGTACTTCCCCATCCCTGGGGGCCCTTGTGGTGCCTAAGGGGGAAAGAAACAAGAAAAAAAAATAGGTTGTAAAGTACTTTCAAATTTACAAAATATTGCCAGTAATAGAAAATGCAGTCTACAGAAAACACATGGGAGAAACAGACCATTGAATATACCATACTGACTAGAATGAGGACCAGAAAATTTGAGGCAAGTTAACATTCCTAAGTGAAAGCAGGACAATAAATAATGTAGAGCAAGTCAATATACTTTAATAAAATCTACAGATAGCCATGAAATTCAAAACTACAAAGACTACAAAATTTTAGTGTCAGAGAAAGCTTAAGTTTTTAAGACACAACAGTTAATTCTTTTAAACTTCAATTATCATTATTTAATATAACCCACCAATAATAGACTTCATTTTTATGTAGATATCTTATATATTTTTTCTTCCTTTGAGAAAAGAAACTAATATTCTACTTATTAGAGACCTACAACAATTAAAAGAGAAAAAAATTAAGTTCTTTTAATGAACTCTATTTTTAAAAGTTGAACAAATGTTAATTATGAAATTATTTCAGACAGATGAATTAAATGGCTTAAGGCTTAAGACAGGTATTCATATATTACTTCTTAGCCATTATTCTCTTGAAGTAATTTTAAAACACTAAGCAGTAAGCTGGTTAATGAAATTCAGCAAGAGAGCACTAACTTTTATCTCCTAATGAATTCATATTAAAGCACAGTTGATCCTTGAACAACATGGGGGTTAGGGGAGCTGACCCCCCTCCCCACCCGCGATGCACACAGTTGAAAATCCAACTGAAACTTTTGATCCCCCCCAAACCTAACAACAGTTACCCCTTGGTATCCATGGAGATGACAGGTTCCAGGACACCTTGTGGATACCAAACTAGATGGATACTCAAGTGCCTTATATAAAATGGTGTAGAACAATGCATATAGTCGGCCCTCCACAGCCGTGGATTCCCAACTGCAGGTCGAAAAATACTGTTTTCAGTCCTCAGTTGGTTGGATCCCCAATGCAAAACCCGGGGATATGGATCGCTGACTGCATATTTATTAAAAACAAAACAAAACAAACCCCTGCATATAAGTGGACCGATGCAGTTCAAATCTGTATTGTTCAAAGGTTAACTGTAAAAAATCTTTCTTTCGGGTGCAAGGTATAAACTCAGGTTCTAACAGTATTTCTCCTTTTGAATCTTCCTGAATACGAGTCAATGATGAGGTATGTAACCTAGAAGTCGAGTTGGGCGTTGCAGCGAGTCCCGCACCAGGCCGCCGCTGCAGACCTGCCCCCTGGTCCCGAGCGCACCCGCAGCCAGGAACCCGGGAGACCCCTTGGGTTTCCCCCTCCACTCCACCTCCCAACCGTCCCCAGCGTTTATGTACTTTCCTTCCCACACACGCCTCATCCCTGTCGTTATCTGTGGTCCGAGCTGCTGGTCTCCCGGAGTCAAGTCTTTCTTCTCCCCGGCTGCACCCCTTACCCAACCGCAGCCGTGAGTTTTCTCAAACAATAACCTGAGCAAAGACTCGAAGCCCATCAGTGGTTTCCCATGATCCCTGGCATAAAACCCAGACTCTGCTTCTCCAGCTTCTCTCTTGCCCCACCCCTTCCACATTCTAGGTGTTAGCATAATAGATTTTTTTCCCCAGTTCTTTCAATGTTCTTTGCACTTGCTTACCTCTGAGGCCTTTGACCAAGTCATTCCGTTCCCTCGAAGACTTCCTATTCCCTCCCCCACTCTCACTTCAGCTAACTGCTCCTCATCCTTCAGGCCCCGGCTTAGAAGTTTCTTTTGAGAATCTCCCCTGGTTCCATCTAGGGTATGGCAGTATGTGGGGACCACATCTATCTGGTTCAGAGCGATGGCCCCAAGTCTCAGCACAGTGTAAGAATCAGAATAGGTGCACAATATAGGTAGTTGGCAAGTAAATGAAGTGAACTTTTACTCCAATATAATTAGCACAGTGCCTGGCAATATACTATTATTATAAATTCATTCATGGGAAACTATTCATTGCTCTTACTTTTTAAGTGTATTATATTCTATTATAGTCTGTAACATGTGAAAAAAATTCACAAAGGTGATAAAACATTAATGATAATTGTATCAGAAAATAATCATTAAGCTAACATTCATTCTAAGCAACAAAGATGGTATTCAATACATTCCCCTCCCCATATTTTTGTAAAAATGAGCATTTTCTTTATCTGTTTTACACCACAGCGGATACAAAATCTGGAAAACAACTTTTTTCTTAACATAATGCACTTTTCATTGTCAAATTTTTGTTTCTCATATGTTGACTAAAACTACATTGTTAGATTCCTCCAAATCAACAGCTTTTAGCCCCACAGTAAGTAAAAATTAACATTAGAAAATAAAGTCAGTGACTAAATTCAAAATTTATAATTATCTGTGACAGATGGGAAAACATGGCCACAATATTTCGCATCTCCTTCTTTGACGAGATGGGGCCTGTTGTCTCACCTCTTGAATCCGGACTGGATTTACGACTTGCTTTGCATAATTTAATGTGGAAGATGGGACGCTGCGTAGGCTCGGGCGCCTCGACTGTCATCGCGGCCTTCCTGGGACGCTCCCACTACCACGAATGGAAGTCCAGTCTAGGCTACTGAGTGACGAGACATGCCAAGCCAACAAACAGCACCAAGGGCCCAGACGTGAGCGAGGCCGTCTCAGCCCCTCCGACCCCAGGTGAGCTGCCAGAGACAACAGCCACGGGAGGGTCCCAGTTAAGCTCAGCCAACTCATGGAGTCACGAGAGAGAAACATGTGATGGTGATTTTAAGCCCTTAAATCTGGGGTGGTTTGTTATGCAGAAAAGGCTCATTGAAAATATTATCCAAATAAGCTCTACTATAAAACATAGTGACTATACAAAACCCAATTTAAGGGCAAACCATATCGCAGATAATACGATAAAAAGAGTACCGACTCAAGGGGCGGGGCAGCCCAACGTTTTCATATGGGGTAACTGTTAACGGCAGAGTCTGCAGCCTGCACCTAATCCCTCTGGGTTTCATTCTCTTTCTGCAAAGTGGTGTTGAGCAAGACGGTGTTCGCGCTTCTTTCTATTAATAAATATGAACTGTTACGCGTGGTTCCAACACGCATATTTCCAGTATTATAAATTTTTACTTCCTCCCCTCGAATGTCATCCCATACCCATAAAAAATTCTCTCCCTTCCCCTATTTGACCCCGACTGCCTTCAGCATTCCAGAAAATTTATCTTTACATTATTCTGGTGCTCTATATATTTACTGTAAAGCTTTCTACACCCCCTCCAGTCACCACTATATTTTCCCTCTTGACATAAAAATTCCTCCAACCAGTTCTGTTGACTCACCATCTCCCATTCCTCTCCTCTCATTCTCTCTGGAGCCCACTCCTACCAGGTCTTTGTCCCAACCACGCCAATGCGACAGCTGGCTGTGCTCATCGGCAGTCTCCACTTCGCTTAACCCAGGGTCAAGGCTCGTATCGCCTGACCTACCGACAACATTGGACATAACTGATCATTCCCCTTTTTAACTTTACTCTGAAACTAAACAAGTAGTAATAAAGCAGGTAAAGTTAAACAAGTAGTAATAAAGCAAACCCATGAGGGTGAAGGAACAGAACACTACCATGACACCAAAGCCCCCCCGTGCGCCCCCAATCCCAACTATCTCCCTCCCCCACCCCCAAAGGTAGCCACCATCTTGACATTGGTGATGATTTCCTTTCTTTTTCTTAAATTGTTTTTACTAATTAAGCAATGCATTTCTAAGCAACACAGCTTAGCTGTGCCTGTTTTGTGACTTCATGTGAATGGAATCATACCTGAGACATACTTCCATGTCTACATCAACACTTACCACGTTTTTAAACTTTGGTCAACATGCTAAGTATGTAAAGGCATCCTGGGTACTTATTGAGCAACTGGCTTATAAGATGACACATTCCTTTTCATATATTTACTAGCCATAATGATTTTTTCTGTTGTGAAGCGGCTGTGCAAGTCTTTTGCCACTTCTATGCTGGGTCGCCTGGCTTTCCTTTTCTTTTTTTAAAGATTTTATTTATTTTTAGAGAGAGGGGAAGGAAGGAAGGGAGAAAGAGAAACATCAATGTGTGAGAGAAACATCGATCGGTTGTCTCTTGCCCGCCCCCAACGGGGACTGAGCTTGCAATCCAGGCATGCGTCCTCACGGGTAATTGAACCAGTGACCTTTTGGTTTGCAGGACGATGCCCAACCCCACTGAGCTGCATCAGCCAGGGCCTGGGTTGCCTGTCTTTTTAAATTTGCTTTGTAGTTCTTTACTTTCTGGGTACCACAGTAGTTCATCAAATCTAAGAGAACACCAGCTTCTAAAAAGCACCGCTATTTTATCCCCATACCCTCACCAAAAAAGAAAAACACCTGGCAATTATAATTAAAAGATTCCATCTATTGAAGATGTATTCTAATTGTAGAGGGGTTAAAATGTTAATTGTCTTAGTATTGATGAAGCACAGCAGATATATGCACTGCAAATAGGGTGTTTCTGCTAAAACGTGAAATAGGCTTTCTTGAAATAGTGCTTTCTGCAAAATCGTGCACCAAAAATAACAGAGATGGAGCAAACAGGGTCAGGGTTGAACTCTCAAAACTTATGGCAACTTCCTAACACTACCAAATCAATTAACAATCCTGGTTAAAAATATTAATACAATTGAAAAGCCATGTTACATTCCTAATTATAAATACTAAATAAAATACTTAGTCTTTAAAAAGAACACAAAGAAAAGGTAGCCTGCCAGAAAGGCGTGCGAGACTTGAGGCTACTGAGCAATGAAGATAAGGCAAAACGTACAACAAACAGTTTTAAGAAAAAGTACATGCTTGAGTTGAGAAAAGAGGCCAAGTTGAGCTGAGCGAGCATCCTGTATGGCCCATGCGTCATTCAGCTGTGTTTGCACGTCCTGTGTTTACTTGCTGCTGCTTGATGATGCAAAGCGTGAGCTTGTC